CATTAGTGTGCTGCGGCACACAGATTGGACAACACTGATCTATTAAATTTTTTATGAATAATGTTGCATATTGATGTAATCTTGTTTCAAATTATGAATCTACATATTAAGCATGGGATTACATTTAGTTGGTCTTTCAATTCTTACAGACGCATTTTTGTAAAACTAGTCAATAAAAAGCTAAGATTTTTTTTAAACTTAATAAAAATTGAAGCAAATCCAAAAGTAAAGTTTTATACAAAACTATCGAAAATTCCATCATTTTCCAAGAAAAGTTTCATTAAAAATTCTTTCACAAATTTTCTACATAATGCAATTATTTCAAAATACATTCAGCATGTTTATTGCATATTTTGGCTTTATTAGCAACCTAGCGTAATTCCATTCAGCTCATCATTCACACTTCTAAAGATCTAACGAAGAAAATATTGTGAGAAAAATGAAAAGAATTTTGTTCCTCATTGCCTTTATTCCTCACTCGCATATCAATTGAAAGCAGCTTTTAATCATGAAAACAGCTTCTGAATTGCTTTGTGTCATCATTCGAATGTATTTACAAATAACAACACGAGTAAAAGAAGATGAAGAAGGAATAAAAAAAAGACATTCAATTGCACAAGTGATGATTTGTTGTTTTTGATTCTGTGCTGTGTTTATTCTTCTGTTCATTCCATCATTTTCTATTTGAATTTCCATTTTAAGATGATTTCATATCACAATCTCGTATCATTGTCGTAAATAAATATCATAATAAGTATTTTGTTGTAGTTTTACTTGCTTCTTTCTCCTTTTATAGAGAAATTTATGATGCTAGTTGAATACTAAATTATGGTATGGATTTCTTTCTCTTGCTCTGTGTGCTGTGTACAGAAAATGGGACTGCTTTAGATTATTTATGAATACTTAAGTTAATTGTTATGATACCCATTGAAAAAATGAATTGTTTTGCTTGAATTTTAAATCTCTTTTTTTTATAATGAATGAGTCAATCAGGGAATTAAGTAATCGTTGAGCTGTTGATTTAGTGAAAATAGTTTTTAAAACAACATTGAATGAGTCAAAATTGTTTAAATTTAATACTTTATGTCAGTGCTCTATGATAGACGATATTTATCTGAAATGAATGAGACATCTTAGTGGATAAAAAGCAGTATTTTGGAAGCAACACAGATTTGATGGTTCATATGGATTCCTTATTTTCAATGGACCATCAAAAGTGTGAACTGATCAGTTTTGATAATTTTTAATCATTTTGATTAGTTCCAAACCCTTACCGATCGGCACACATTGAAATTCATTGAATATTTGCCACCTGGAAGCCGGGTTGATAGTATAATTAGATTTTGGATTAGGTATAATCCATTTCCAAACATTTCAATGTGTGCCGATCGGGCTTTTCTATCAATTCCAACGATGCAACAATTGCGATCTTCATTGGAGATTAAATCTATTCTTGGTATTCTAGGAATTAGATTCAAACCCTTAATTTGTTTTAAATCAAAAATCAAAAGGAAACAAAACAACCTTCAACAATATCAGCTGACTTGTATTGATTTTAAGCTGCATTCAAAATGTTCAAACAATTCTGCTAAATGCTGACTCAAACATTTTCTTAAAATTTATTACTCACATCTTATCAAAATTAATTTGTAACAAATATTCAATTAATTCTCAATGGCAAGCCATACACAAGACCCTTCTCAATAAAATATTAGTCAATTAAATATAAAAATTAATTTTTAAGGGCTATGCTGATAAACAAGAACGACAAAGTCATCTAGAGAATCGATCTTAATTGATGGTAATTAACCTTGGTCCCTTAGATTGTGAATGTCAAAACAAAAATTTTATCTTGGCATTAGTCGCGTGGTATATTCAAAAAATAACAAAACTTTAAGATTTATGAGAGTAGAAAATGTCTTTCAAGGTTAGGTTGGAAAATTTATGTCTTCATATGCTATATCCACATATATTCTTGATTCAGCAGAATTGATATTCTGTTTATAAGATTTATTACTTTTACGATATTAAGAGTTTTCATTTTTGTAGAGCTAACCTGAATAATATCCATACTGTTGCCACAAAAATGCTTAAAAGGACATTTTCATTGACACGAATGATATAAAATCCGTAATGTATTGATTTTATTACATGATAAAGTTCAACATGCATCACAGCAACTCAATTCTTACGTCACATGTAAATCCAACTGCATTCCAATGTCAATCATTACATACTCAGGAAATCACATTATTTATGCAGCAATGCAAGTGAAAAACTGCATGACGTAATAATGAAATTTTTAATGGCACAAAACTCTGCAATGGCATTATCCTTTCCTACATCATCAGCTCTGACACATTTCCTTCAATATTATTGACAAAATATTCTCATTCGTCCGTAAACTTCAACCTTATTTTGTCATGTTTGTTGGTAATGGAAATGTGAAATTATTGATATCAATAAATATTGCATGCTTGCATTTTATGCCCTAAAGAACACCTGGCTGTTTGGCCAGCAATGTTGATGAATTATTATGTCATGAATGACAAATTACTTGCAAAATTGAATTTTTCTGTTATGTTGTAATTTTGGTCTATAAATGTCATACTGGAACTATGGAAAGGGAGTTGAACTATGATTGTAATTTTTTGTCAAACACTCTAGTGGTAGAGCTTGATTTTTGTCATAAAAATGGATTTTTGCCGTCATTGTGACATGAGCACATCCAGATCATCATAACAGCGACGTAGCTGTGACATAACAACCATGTTGTGGTGACGAAGCTATGACAAAGCACCGATGTTGTGTTGCTAGGAATATTTTGGCAATTTTCCAAAAAAATTTTGGTCTTATTTGCTGAACAATAAATTCAGCTGTCATGCTTGCTGATGAAACTGCATCAGTCTCTCATAAATAAATCATAATCTCCAACAAAAAAACATTCAGTCTAGCTTCAATGCATGCTAGTCTAATGAATACAGAATTTATTTTTAGACAGCAAAAAGAGAGACTTTTAATCCTTCTACATCATGACATTGTCTAATGCTTCTAGATTACCATCAGACGAATGAATGCAAGGTCGTTTCAGCACGATAGCTTCCAACATTGTTGTTTGTTTTTTCGAGTCATTTTAGGATTGTGAAGCCCAAAATGTGCTGCATAACTACAAGAAATAGTCGATGAGATTTGTTGAAGCTTAAATATCCCCACAAGCCGCTTAAAGACCAAAAAAATTGTATATACTCATATAGAATGAAATCCATTAGTTCCATATGGTTGATTTTCGTACTTCTTCTATTGTTTAAATGACGGCTTAGTTCCTCGACAGTGAATTACACCCCAAAAAAATTATTTTGTCGTCTTTGGCAACTGCTGGATAATGTTATTAGATATTTGTTGCTGATTGTATTACTTATTAAAAATTATGTCTATGCTGTATTCATGTCGAGTCTTTTATGGCCGGATTGAATGAACTTGACATTCGAGAATGTCTTTTTGATTTGAAATCAAATGGTGAAATGAACCTCATGATCTCTTCTTCCGGCTGCTTTCTATATCCAGTAATAATATATTGTTATTGAGTCTATAACGTCTGACATTTCTAATGATTTCATTGTAAGAGCAATGCTGCGTAGAGCATTAAAAATCGATTAACATATTTTTTGATTCTACTCATGCGATTATTGTTATTATTATGATTATGATACGTCAAATGAACTTGATGGGTGTGACATGTAGCACATAAGTTGTCATTCGAAGACATCTCATTTATGTGAACTCAAAAGAAATCTTAAAAATGTATGTGGCATGTGGTGGTATCTGGGTAAAGGTGTCTTACTATTTTTGTCACCGTAAAATATTTTGCACCATATTTAATGATGTCTTTTAAAGCGCGTGCTGAATTCATTGGCAAGGTCTACACCTTGTGGTTGACATGTTCATGCTTTAATGATTTTTCTTTACAATACTTGAGACACAGCATGAAGAAATTTTTTTTGCAAAGAAATCTTATAAGTAGATTTTTGGGGTTTATTAATTATCTGTTTAGGTTGTTCTGTTTTGAGGTGTGACGAGGTTTTACAGTTAATAGGATTCTGAAATTGTCTCAGAGATTAAGATTGTTGCTAAATAATTTTGTGTTCAAATCTTCAATTTTTGTGGTTTGATAGCTATTTTAAATGAAGCTGATCAAGATCTCAAGAACCGAATTTATGACAGAAATGTTTAAAGTTCATAATATTTATTGAGACTCGTGTTAAGTCATCCGATTGAATGGTTAAGGCAGAGTTTAAAGTAGACTGGAAAATTAAAGTCAACTAAAAGCAAACTTTTTCGACTTCAATCTATTGGTTAAGATATCAGTCCAAAAATCAGTTGTCTTTTCTTATAAAAGCATGGGTTCGAATCTCAACTTGTATTGTATTTATCATAAGCGTGAAGTACTCAAAGTGGCAGTATCTTAATGTCCAATATTAAGTCAAACTAACAGCAAACTTATCGAACTAGGGCAATCCATTCATTTGGTGAAAATCAACTTACCCCCAACTCTAAATATACTAGAATCAAAGATTAATAATGTCAAATTTCAAAAACATAAATTGACTCCTTTACACAATTTCAATTGACATTAAAATCATCATAAATACGTCTCCAAGGTGATTAATTTTCAATATCAATAAATTTAGATAATCTAATTACATTACTTGACATTTAATTTATTGTCATATCCGATGTCATTCTGAACATAAATTGCATTTTCACACATAATATTCCATCCATCCTTCATCTCGATTGACACAATTTGTAGAACTTTAGCTTGTGAAGCACATTAAACTTGTGAAATATAAAATGTCAAATTGAAATAATTTTATTTTTCTCATTTTAGATCTCCAATAATGGTTAACAACAAAAGCAAGGCACAGCAATAAGAAGGAAGAGAAACAAAGAATTTTTTAAAGCGGAATAAAAAAGAATTGAGGAAAAAATAAAATAATAAAAATTGAAAGGAAAAATCAAGCAAAAAAAAAATGGAAATAAACGAGCAAGACGACGCCAATAAAATGCTCGACACAGAAACAGCAACAACGACGATCTCAACAATAAATTCAACCGATAATGACAGTTTAAAGACATCTAATGATTTGACAATAGAGAAAAATTCTGAAGAGTTAATCAGCAATCAGGCTGACAGTAATGTTGATGCTGACATATTAGTCAATAAAGTGCCAGTCGATGATGGGAATATAAATCCAATAAAGGCAGCTCCAAATAATGATGGAAGTGATAGCGGTGTGGAAATAATATCGGTAACTAATAATGTTCTACAGCGTGCACTGTCAAGTAATAGTGGAGGATATACAAGCAGTTGTGGTGGCCTTGAAGATAATATTGGACCTGTGTCATGTAATTCAAGTATGATTAGTTATTGTTCTGATACGTGCGATAAGACAAATAATACCGTGTTGCCAAATGATTGCTATGCTAGTGAAGGTGGCAGTGAATCATCGTCAATTACAGGCGATCCAACAATCAGAAAATTAAGCTCAAGCGTAAAGAAGAAAATTGGCATGAAAGATGGTGGTCAGAATAAATCTCCACGTCGATCAAATGAATCAAATTGTAGTAGTAAGTCATCAAAGTCACGTCCGCCGTCAGTAAGTCGCTCACAGTCGTTATCTATTAAATCTGGTCCACCTAATTTAGCGACACGAGAAAGAGCTCGATCGAGAGATAAACCAAGAATTGAACCCGTGCCACAACAAAAAAATTTAATGACTACGTCCTTGACACGTTCGATGTCTCTTAAAAGACCACCGAAACCTGATACATTGAGTATTACTAAAGAAACAAATAGCTTAAGTCCGCGTGTAAATTTATCAAGAACTCCGTCTCTGACACGAAACAGAACACCACAGGCAACGCCAACAAATCATTGTGATGATGGAAGATGGCCATCGATTGGACATCGTAGTGCTATATCCACATTGAGAGTTAATAGAATTAATGGAAGTGCTGCAGGAACTCCAACAAATTCAGAAGGTCTCATTATCAGAACTAGAATTGGAAATATTCAGCTTGATGGAAAGTCATCGACTTTTGATAAATATGCGACATTGCCACGTCGTCGAAAGGAAAAATCTGTCGAAAATTTAACTCAATCTGGATCACGAAGCAGCTCAGTGACACGTAACGGAAATGTAGAACAACTTCCAAATCGAATGACAAGTTCGGTTGTGCGAAAATTACCAATGTCAAATTCACCACCAAAAACACTTCCTGCATATCCGAAAATTGCTAAAAAACCCGTCGTAGTGAAAACAAAAATTTATCATGAAATATCTGTGCAAACAGCAATCACAAGTAAGGATGTTGAGGATGCATTTTCGGGTAATCCAAATAATCTTCCACGTATCGATGCCGTTGAAATGAAAACCAAAGAAACTCAATCAGACATTCGTGATAAGGAGATGGAGAAGTTAAAGGAACAAATTGAAAAACTTAATGCCGATCATTCACAATTACTGGGTAAATTGAGTGAAAAAAGTCAAATTGTTACTGAACTCGAGCAAGAGCTGCTCAAGGAGAAAGAAGAAAAATTGACAGCACAGAAAGATTTACAAAACAACACGGAACGTGTCATGAATATGTTGGAAAACTTTCAAGCTGGTCCACGTGAGGTTGAGGGCGATGGTGATAGTTTGTTAATGCTCGAATCACAGCTTGTTATATCCGGCAGTGTGCTAGAGAAACAGCAAGAGGAAATTATAAAGCTTCAAGGAATTTGTCGAATGCTGCAGAGAGATATGGAGAAGTCGTTGAAAGTGCAGGATAATTTAATAAAGCAGAGAAATGAGCTTGAAGAGGAGTCGACGGAACTTCAAGATTTCCTGCAAGCTGAAAAAATTGCATTTATGGATGCTTTGAAAGAAGCTGAAAATGAAAATAAAATTATGAAGGATAAACTTTTACAAAAGGAATCAGAATTGGAACGACAGCAAGAAGAATGTCGCCATTTGGTTAGAATATGCGAGCAGAGGAGGTAAGATGATAAAGTTTTTCATTTATCTTATGCAAATTCTTTTGTAGCTTGGTGCTTATTTTTTTATCTGGAGTAACTGTAGAGATTTATTGTGGAGTTAAACTGGCTCTAGGACTTGAAGAGGATAAGAAACATGCATAGACATGTATACCAGATATAATGGATGATACTTAATATCAAGTTTCAATGTAAACTAGTCCTTTATTATAGAGGCTGACCCAATTTTCACAAAACGTGATTCTGAGCTTGTGTAAAGTATTTGTGTTTTTCTAATTGAGTGACTTTTAAACTAGACTGCTCGAAACAATGGTCTTACTAACCATTTTATTCACTGAACATTCAGATCAGCTTTGATCCATGGCTTCCTTTAGTTGTCACCCAAAGTTGACCCTTTCTGATATCAAGTGAAAGGCCAACAAGAAAAAATTCTTTTTGTAGATGTTATCTACGTGACAATACAAGATTTATGGTGAAAGAACCAAATCTCTAGGTATCTCCAGTGTCGAGTACTAAATTGCTATAATTGAAACTCATTTCTGTACTAAAACATCAGGGATGCAGTTTTTTGAAAAATTCAACTTATCTAGTGGCTCCTAACCTTAGAATAGATACCAATTAAAATCCAGACTATGATTGTGCAGTATAGAATGAAACATATTTAGTCTTTAGGACGCTATATGCTGTTTGATGTGTTGATGTTACATTGATCTGTAAACTTCTAGACTAAAGAATTTTAAGTATTAAATAATTTGCTATGTCTTGGAAAAATAAGCTTAAGAACCACTGCACATCTAGTTCATTAGCATTTGCTTTCAGATAACTTAAACGTTACCTTCCTTCCTATATTGTCTTTATCAAATTAAAACACACCCTTAAGCCTGAAATCAAATATTAAACATCCAACTTAATGACATCGTAATTTGACTCCTGACTACAGAAAAAAAATATGCGCTTCCGCATCACACCTATTCTTAATTTGCATACTAATGTCTTCCTCATTTTATTTTTCAACAAACAGACAAGAATATCTTGGAATGCAAGCCAAATACAATGCACTTGAAGGTCGCAGCAAAGATATATTAATGTCGCAAGGATCTGCAGTGTCTGGTGCAAATGTTGCTCTCGTTAGTTTGCATAATCGTATAGAGCATCTTGTGGAACAATTGATTTCAAGTTATAGCATTTCCGAGCAGGACTTGGAGGTATGTTAAAGATCATCATTTATTTAATCATAATGTGCCTGTCGTAACGTTGTATGAATGTCTCGTAATTATGTATTATTCTTTTTTCTTTGTTAACAATAATAATATCGAGTATATTTTGAGGAATTCTTTTGCAATGTGCTCAACTGTAAATAACATATGATTCTAACACAGCTTGATGCAAAAAAATTGCCAATTTTTAACAAACATGACATAACACTTAAAAAGTTTCATAATAGAATCTTCTCACAAGAGCATTCACAGTAATGATGTGCTTAACATACTTGAAACGTGCTAAGTGAGAGATGAAAATGCTAAATCATCATAGCACCTATCATTTATTCACCTCTTTGCATCAATTTTTCATTTTTGAATAATTTTCATTCATACAATCGTTCTTTTTTGCTTTTACTTTCGGTTGAGGAAGAAAAATTGGCTGTAATGTGTGCTTTGCGTGGTAACTATGTTACATGTGGGATGTACATAATACTGTAATGATGATAAAATGGATATTTTTTGTAAAATAGAAATCTAGGAAATTTGTAAAAAAAAGCTGTTTTAAAGCCCTGTTAAGATGGAGAAATTTGACATTTAATACAGGTTTAATAATGAAGCTAGTTGTAATAAGATTAAGTTAAGGAGTGGTGTAGTGTCGAAGCAGAGTGGAATCTGGGGTATTAAGCCATTTATATGCAAATCTGCAAGTGTGAGAGTTGAGGCTCTGAGGGTCGAATGTTAAGACAACCCACTTTTGTAAGGACGTGGTTTCGATTCCCAACCAGAAAAAGATCTCTCAACCATTACATAGAGTGTTGTCGATATGATAAGGACTCGAACAATGCTTTGGTATTTGGGGTTTCTTTAATATTAGTAAGTAACAGATTTGCAGACAAAAAAAAATTGAAACCCCCCCCAAAAAAATGATTAGTTCCAAAACTCTTTCCTAAAATTATGTTAGTTCTAGACAAATTTCATTTAAGTTTTAATGTAAATTTAGTCCATAGATTTCGAATATAAGCTAGGGTACCCTAGACAGCCTTAGAAACCTACCACAAAAAAATTCATACAAAGATTAGCAAAAGTTTTCAAAACTTTAATTAAAAATGCTTTCTCAAATCTAATAAATCAACTTAGTAAACACAACATCACCACTTGACTCTAACTTAAGCTTTAACAACACTGTGACATTATAAAAATTTATCTTAATCAACATTCATGTCATGGAGAAGATATTTTTTTCGAATGATTATTTCAATTTCCTACAAAATAATATTCATTAAAATCCAATGATGCAAGACGCATCATTTGCTGCAAAACACGTTCCATTTATATCATTACAGCCAACAGCTGTAAAAAAATTGTTATTTTTGAAACAAAAACTTCCTGTTTGCTTCTTCTTTTTCATCTCGTGAAATGTCTGCTGTTTTTTCGGAGAAAATAAGAAGACACTTTAAAGGTTGAATGTGCAATAAAAAGAATTTAATGATGCGAGTCCAAAAACATTTTATTCTTTACTGGATGACTGCACATAAAGCTATTAAAATTACCACAATTTGACCACAAACTTCTCAACTCTATTTTAATTTTTTTTTTTAAAATCAGAAAAAAACCAACAAAATTTTTTCATTTTTTTTCTCATCCTTCTTTTTTGCCTTCACACAAACCACAAAAAATATTTTTAACTCAATAAAAAATAAATCTTTGAAAATAAAATAAAATGTAACTCAGGTGCACTTGATACGGTAAGTTAATGGGATGAAATTCCCTTAAAAGCTTTATATTCTCTGTGTGTGTTTTTTTTGTGTGTGGCTTGCTTGTCTCAAGAGTGGCTTCACACGAGAGAAATTTAATTGTGTATAGTACAGATTACTTTTATGCATGATAATTAAACTCTAGGGAATTTATATGAAAAAGTGAGGATTAAATAAGGAACAAAATTGCATGTAAATTTCTCTGAATATTGTCTTTTATTACTACAGATCTCATAGCACATAGAAATTCCTGTTATCTTGTAAGTCGTTCCTCATCATGTCGGTTGAATTTCTCATTAAAATTCTTATCCAACTTTTTAGTCTTTATTTCCATTACATTCTCAGCTTTTTGCTCCTCCTCAATTGGCTTATTCCATGGCTGTAATGTCGAGTCACTAAATAATATATAAATTATTCCGCATGTAATTTGCATCGTTGCACAAATCAGGAAGACATATTTCCATGGCTCAACATTATGTTGTCGACCACTTGTCAAATAACCGACAATCATTGGTGATATGAAACCCGAAAATGTACTGAATGTTGAGTTGATTCCGAGCGAGACACCAGCAAAGTTTGGTGAAATGTCAACGACAGATGCTAGTGCACCACTACTTACAGATCCGTGCAGCATCAATGATATTGTTAGTAGGAGTACGGCTATAAAAACATCACAGCCTGAAAAGGCTAACCCAATTACGAAAAATCCATTCAATATTAAGCCTGTAATTAATCATAAAAAAGAGAGTCCAACATTTCATTTTCGAGCCTTAATCTGACTGATAATTAATGAGCTTACATATAAATGATGCCATTTTTCTCACATTTGTTCTCGACATTTTATTTGTTGACAAAAGATAATCAGAGAATGTTGATACGATGAGTGAAAATATGACACGCAAGAGATGTGGAAAGCCTGATAGGACTCCTATTATTAACCAAGAAATGTCCCATTAATTAATGAGCAAAGTTAATTGAATGATTGATTAATTAAAAGTCTTTCTTACCTGTCATCTCAATTCCCCAGCCATGAACGAAACGGAAGTAAGTCGGTGCTTGTGCAATTAGTGTGAAAAGACCCCAAACGCCTCCCCACTTGATATGAAAAATAATTATTAAGAAGTTAGATGTGGATATTATAAAGATATTGATAAAATTGGGAATTAAAAGTATTTTATACTCTGACTGTCAAGACAGCAGCTATTTATTTTTTGAAGGGAAAGTGTGGGATTGAATTTCTCATAAAAATCACTAAAGATCTCACAAAACTTGCTGGCTATGCCGATCATCAATTAATTAGAATTTAGGTGACCCATTCATGACAATATTCTATAAGAATCGAACTTATTTCTCTGTAACGTATAATCACTAATGCTGAGATATTAGCTGCAGGATTATGTCATTATGAATATCTAATATAGATACTAAAGGAGCATAAAACTTTATAAAAGGGTATTGAACCAGCCAGAGGCACAGCAAAAGATGTTGTCGAACCATAAAATTTTTGTTTTTTCTTTACTTTTTTAAGGCAAGTAGGGACAACGCATCAGCTATACCCTGATTGCTACACAAAAACTTCAGTCAGGAAACCTCAGTCCTTAACTGTTAAATCAGTTCCTAATCTGTCACCAATGCCCTCTGTTCCCATTTAAAAAAATCTTCAATATCCTCAATTTAAAAATGCTTCCCAAATATTCACGTATATTTGCACGCTGCGAATCTTCAACCTGATTTTCTTCACTCTTATTTTTCACTTCTCTCAAAATAAAGTGTCACGTTGACTTTACTAAACGATAACAGTCAAGTGACTGGATGATAATCTTTGTAAACAATTGCGATAATTTCCTGACTCAAAAACAATTGCGTACCTGAGCAACAATATTCATCCACATTGGAATTGATGTGAGTATCGCTTTCCATGGAGTTCTATATTTTGGCTTCTCACCTCGTACGACAGATGATCCAAGTGATTGTAAAATGTAAAGTTTTTCTTTTTCGTGGATTCTGGGATGACTTTCTGGACTGTCGTAGACAAAGTATTGCCATAGAACGTACCAGATTGTTCCGACAATGCCACAGAAATGAAAGACATTTTCCCACGATGAGTTTTGAATTATAAATCCGAAAATTGGGTAACAAATGGAAACTCCGATTGATGAGCCGATGTAAGCTGTCACGAACTTACTAGATTGAAGATGTTTTGATTTAATAAATCAGCACTGACTTATTAGCATTAATTCTTACCTCCTTTCATTCGGTGGAATCCATCTGCCGACTAAGTGACTCATTGCTATGAATACAATCAACTAAGTTCATTAAACTATTGAAAATAGAAATAAATGTCAATACCTGGCCATGCAGCACCAGCAACAAAACCTTGAACTAGTCTCAACCAGAATAGTGCATAAAAACTATAATAAGCTGCTATTGGTACCAGCATGCATGTTATACAACCAAAAAAGTTTGAGAAACCAAAAATGAGCTTCGTTCCAAATTTTTGCGCCAATATTCCACCTTATCATTGTTAATTTGAGTCAGACATACAGCAACAAGACATTAATATGAAAATAATTCATTATATGAGCAACTTGATATGCACTTAATAGAAAGACATATAAAAACCAGTCATACCTGGCAGCTGTGTTGCAAAATGAAGCGTAAAGAAGGCAGCTAGAACTTCAGCTTGTGTTTTTGCATCCCATTTGAATCCATCACGCTCATACTCGACCTTGTTTTTCGATGCGAGTGGAACAAAACAAAGAGAAAGATATCAAGTGTGATGATAAGAGAATAGAAAAATATGCAAGAAATTATGTTTTCATGTTGATGACCGGGAGGCGTTTTGTATTTTGTTTGAGGAGTTATCAGTGGATTAGATTGAGAGTTATTTATTTTGATAGATTGACAAGGGGCTTTAGAACTGGATTGATTAATGACTTTAATTCGATAATAAAAAATAATTGAATTTTGATATCAAAAGTTGACATATTTGCACTTTGATATATATCAAAGCTCAAAATCAAGTCAATATGACTAAAATGATGAATCGACTAAGTTCGGTTTAATTTTTTTGAGTCAATTTCGAGCTGTGATAATATATAAATTATTTCGAAAACGACAAATGAGCATTTGATGGTTTGAGTGACATGCAGCAAAAAATAGGTTTGAATTGCATTAGAAAGTTTGAAAGAAATTTACTATCGGCGATCAATAAACTGTAGCTTTGGAAGTTGTATTAATTTTTTTGGTGTCGGAGCGGATTCCAATTTAGGGGTATCGAGGTGATATGTGATTCTGCCATTGTGAGAGTTATGTCTCTGTGGCGTGGTAGTTTAGGCAAAAGATCGAATTTCTGTAACCATCTTTTGTGAAGACGTTGGTTCGATTCATACCAAAAACCGATCATCTATCCATCATTTTATAGCTTGTTGTCGATATGACAAGGATTCGAACAATACTCACGACATTACAATTTTAAAAGTGAAAATTCAGCAGATTCTAAAAAGTCGCGTGATCTAAATGTGCTTCTCTTTTAGCACCTTTGGAGCTAGGCTACTGAATATTTATTATTGTTCTTTATTATGAAAAATTAACACTTTAGTAATATGTAAAAAATTATACAAGCGAGCCTCTTAATATTATAAATTATCGTCTTTGCTACGCATTTTCGTACACAATTTATGAAATCTTTTCAAGCATGCAGTTGTGAAATATTGAAAATTTAGAGATTTTCAATGTCTTATAAGAACGATAAGATAAAAGTTTTCCTTGAAATTTGAAAAATCTTGAAGATTTTTTGATTGTGATTTATTAAAGGAGAGATTTAGGCACATAATTGATGGCTAGCGGCTTCAAAAATCTCGGCTTAAAAATCTCAAAAATTGAATTTTTTAAATAAAGCTTTCTAAATAAAGAGCTCCGTTTAACTTTCCAAGAGATTCCAAATAGTCTTGGTCCGATTTGATAATCTCTTTAATTGCCTCATCAAATAAGAAGTTCCTAAGTTTATTAAACACAAACAAAGAAAAGTTCAGGACAGAAATTGGCGCGATTTTGTATTTTCACCAAGATAACAGGCTAAGAGATTTACAACTTATTTGTTAAGTTAACTCGAGTGTAGATTCTGGATTTTATTTCCGCGTTTTGAGCTCGATGTAATAAAATTCATTTTAATGCCATGCATATCCATAAATGAAACAGCTAATGGACATAGATCTATGTGCATTTAATAAGCATATTAATATGAAAATCTAGTTTGAAAGTTGACTTTCAAGAAATTCTTTGGAGACGTACACGCACATAGAAGAACCAGATGTGTTTTGGTCATCGAACTTTTGTTTCAAACAAGTTTATCACATTCCATTACTGACCTAAATATCAATCATTCTGTCTATTTAATTATCATAATAGCTATTCAATTAACACAACTTACGCCAAAATAATCAAGAATTCGCTTCTCGAACGAGACAAATCTCGCACTGTGGTCAAACATTAAGCTTTCATTTTTAGACATTGTGATGTTCGTTGAAAAGCACTCAGAAGACGTTACCGCCTTACTTTTAAATTCCGGTGAAATCATGTCGACTATCGCGATATTTATGTTAATTCTTATCATGTAATTCATAGCAAATCCAATGAATGTTAAGTACCAAAGCACACTTCTGGCTTTAATTCCGACATCATCTTCGCTCACTTTTTCCTTATCCATTATTTTTCACTGTTATTTCTATTCCTTATATTTTATTAGTGCTTAAGCAATTACAGCCGTTTGAAACTAAGCACTAAGTCTAACTGAACTGAAAAAACTCAGCTCACAACTTATCGCGGAGTATTTTTTTTTTGTTTTCAATACCAGCTGTAAAAACTTGTTTAAATCTGCAGCATTTTTTTCTCTTTCTCTCACTTTATGCTTTATCTATCCTCTCACGATTTGTAGCTTGCACTCGTATATGCGAAATTTGATGAATTTTTGAGAAATGCAAATTTATGCATTTTTTGTAAGATAAAAAATTGATTAGAAATTTTTTAAACTTGATTTATTGGCTGTGAAATTTTTATTGATTGAACGTTGGAGAGTGTTGGTTTACAAGGTGTTGTAGATTGCTTTAAAAATACAGTTTGTTGATTTTAAGCTTTTTATTCACAATCTTGCACTTTTTGGAGTTCAATGTTTGTTCATCCTTTCACTTTTGTCTGTTTATCCTTCAATGCTGTCAATTGATACTTTGGTATTGACTTGACACTTAAAATTAATCAAGACTTCCAAACAATTAAGAAATCTTTACTGGAACTACTTTGAAAATTTATTAAATTTTACACAAAATGTTCAATTAATTTAAATTAGTTCCAACAACTTTTTTTTCTCACATTTTTAAAGCTATTTTAAATACTTTTCTAAAAAGTTTAAGGTTTGCTAGAAACTTCTTTCCTTTATAGTGTCAACAAACAACCTTAAAAAATCACGAGAATTCCGAGAATTCCCCACTTAAAACTTTATTAATTCTCCGTACCACTTCCACTGCATATGATCACAACACATTATTATTAAAAACACAATTCAATCCGCTTCTAATAGTGTCCAAAGTTAATATGAAACTGTGAAAAATATTTATATTAAACTCTAAAGGAGTTAGCACGATGTTTGACGAACTTAGTTGCGATCGTTAAAAAATCACAACCACAAAATTTTTTTTTTATATCGCTGACTTTTTGATTGTTTTGTTTTGCAATGGAAACAGATGATTAAGGCATTTTGAAGTTGAAAGAGTTGTCACCTCAATAAATCTGCCATGGTGATGTTGACACTGCGAATATCAAACAAAAAGTGAAATGCTCGCTGAAAAGTGTAAATTACTCGATCATCTGTAATGATTTTAAGATACGTGAGGCAGAGATTAAAAGTGTTTATAGCTAATTCGTATTGTGGGCAAGTTTGATATTTTTGAAATTTCGATATTTCAACGTGTTGATTAGTGCAAGGCAGGCGCGTAATCAAGGGGGGGGGGGGGCGTAACCAGGATTTGGGGAGCAAATCCCCCGACGTTAACAGAAATTTCTTCATTTTGCTAGGAGTTTTATGAAAAAAAAAAAAAAATCCCTCTGAATTTTCCATACAAATTTTTTTTTGTCTCACCCTCTTTAAATTCCTGGCTATGCCCCTGGTGCAAGGGTCCGGAACTGATGAAATGATCAAAGATTATCAAAAAGACCAAAATTGAACTAATCAATTCTGCACCTTTGGATTAGTGTACACATCTTTATAAATTATTTCATAACTGGACTCAAAGTATAGCTTTAAAAATTAGCATGGCGTGATTATTAAGGACATTGCTGTGAGAGCAGCAAATCTCTTAAACAGCGAAATCTTTTAAACAGTGGCAATAAGTTTCATAATGAGCAGTCAATCAGTAATTGCCAATGTCGACATGATATTATGATAAAGTTCTTTATAGCTGCCTAATTAATAATTTGACATGATTTCGGCAAGTTTACAGTCTTCTTTTTAAGATGTATGCATTAAAATTACCAAAAGGTATGAATCTTGGAGAGATCTTAAACTCTGAAGAGCTAAAATCCATTTGTTTTTACTTGATTGATTAGGTAATCATCAAATCAACAAAATTTTAAAAGTGTAGGGAATCCCAAATGATCAGTTCGTAGTATTATAAAAACAATCAACATCTGCCCAATCTCTTCTGCTTATGATGGTGATTCATGAAAATACCAAAATTAAAAACCAGTTCATTTTAGTGAGAATTCCTCTTGATTTGTCTCTCGTTTATTTAAAACTAAGCAATTGATTGACTGCAAATTATTTTGATTTGTTTATTCTTCAGGTTCAAATGTATTTTTTTTAATTGATGCATTAATATTGTATTTTAGGCAGCATCATTTTACTTGAAACAGAAATGCTAAGTTGTGTGTTAATCCTAAATATTAAATACTACAATTTACAATAACAGCTACTCCGAGAAACTCAAAACTCTATTTGACAATCATGAAGCTTCACTTGATCTCCACATGAATTGCAAATGGGTATTTTAGTATTGATCGGAATTATAATTCAAGAAATCTATTAAAAATCTAATAACAAATCAGAACACGAAATTAAATGTTCTTTGGTCCCTTATTCAGAATCGACACTCTTAATCCTTAATTCTTATTATTTCTCTCTTTCATTTTCGCATTTACTTTCGTCTGTATTTTGATCAACTGATGCTCTTCGAGCCGTTTCATAGCTTAAACTTAAAAGTTGTTTCCTTAAATTCAAACTTATATCAGGAGCTTCAACTTTATTAGGCTTTGGTTTATTCCAAGGCTGTGTAGATCCATCATTAAAAAGAATGTAAATAATTCCACTGATTATCATGACTATTGCAGTTAATTCGAAAATGTGCTGCCATGCTTTAGTTGTTTGATTTTCAAAAGTAAAGTATCCGACGATCTACAAGAGATGAAAGCTTATGTTTTGTTATTTGATAGAATGTGAGTCTAGAACTTACCATAGGCGACACAAATCCAGAACAAATAGCAATTGTACTTGTGATTCCCAAAATAATTCCTGAATAGTTTGGACTGTTGTCGATCATACCTGCTAAAACACCTGATGATACAGCTCCATGTAAAGCAAGTGAAATTGATAAGAATGTCACAGCCATGATAATATTACAGCCAGAATATGCAAGTCCAAAGCAAAAGACTCCGTTTAATATCAAATCTAGAAGAAAACATGTATGAGCCTAAAATTAAGCTACAGAATTTTAATCAACTTACGGAATAATGTCGCAAACTTTCTAACACGATCGCGTGACATTTTATTGTGCGTCAACAAATAATCTCCAAACATTGAGAACAAAAATGAGAATCCAGTTCTTAACAAATGAGGAATTCCAGACAGCACACCAACCATTTCAATACTCCATCCATGAATTAAACGGAAGTATGTTGGACTTTGTGTCAGCAATGTGAAAAGACCCCAAATTCCTCCGATTTGTGCGACAGTAGCTATCCATGTTGATCGTGACGAAAGAATGGCTATCCATGGAATTTCTCGCTCCTTTTTCTGATCTTCGTCTCGAATAACTGATGAGCCAAGAACTTGAAGAATGTATCCTTTTTCTGATGGATGAATACGAGGATGTTCTTCTGGACTGTCGTAGACATTGTATTGCCATAGAATGAACCAGATTGTTCCAACTACAAAGCATGCATGAAAGACCCATTCCCATGATGATATTTTAATAATGTAGCCGAATATTGGATATGCTATTGCGGTTCCTGAAATATTTCAAATGGACAATTAGACGTTTCTTACAAGAATGTAATGACTTAGCAATGATTAGGTTAGAAATGACTTTGTGATCTGGTTCTGGTGGGAATCAAACCCAAGACCTTGCAGAAGAGCGTTCCAATTTCTAAATTATTGCTCAACCCCTTAGCCACTGAAGCCTTACTCTCACACTGACATATTCGTCTTCATATGTCTATAATATGCAAGATTAAACCAAGGATATGGAACTGATCAAAAAAGATCAAAATGTGTTATCAGTTCCGCACCCAACGATTACACTCTGTTTATCAATGGTTAAACACTTCTCACTTTAACATTCCACTGTTATTTACATACCTATCGAAGATCCCAAATAAGCAGTAACGAATCGACTTCTTTCATTTCCCGGTATCCAAAGTCCAACAAGATGGTGCATTGCTGGCCACGCGAAACCTTTTATCAAATCAATAATTTAATCATTTTATTGAATATTCCACATTAATCTTTTATTACCAGTAAATATCCCAGAAACCAATCTGACAAATACGAGTAAGCGATAGTCCAAATAGCTGATAAGTGGAGTAATGAAGCACAGCACGCACGAGATGTAGTTGGCGTATCCAAAAACAAATTTCGTTCCATATTTTGTTGCTAGAATCCCGCCTGGAATTTGTGAGGCCCAATGAAGCCAATAGAATGATCCAAGGAACATTGCCTGCTTGTGCTCGTCCCATTTAAATCCATCACGCTCGTATTCAATCTGAATGAGTCAATTTATCATTTTTTGTTTGAATTATTTTGACATAATCTTGACATGTTTTGTTATCTTACCTCAAAATAGTCCAAAAGTCTCCGTTCTATCGAGGTATATCTTCTACTTCTATCATTCTCTACAGTTGCTAAGCTCTTGTCATCACTATCCGTACTATTAGTTATGTCATTAATGAAGCACTCTGATACAATAACTGTTTGATTGTCATTATGATTTTTCTTATAATTCAAATCAATCATATCCACAATTGCTATATTTGCATTGATACGGATTATATAGTTCACGGCAAATCCAAAGAATGTCATGTACCAAAGAACTGTTCTTGCCTTTATACCATCAGTTTTCTCTTCAACAAGTTTCGGTGTTGCGCCCATCTTTTTACTTTTTGAGTTGCTTATCCTATATCCAGCAAAATTCTGACAGCAACTGAAGACTCTTCACGAGATGTTTCTGAACTTACTTCCTCAAATGATGAAAGAAAAGCATGTTGTGGGAGATAAGATGATGATTACTAGAAAAAAAAAGAGTTTTATGATCTTCAAATATTTTCCTACCTTAAAGCAAGAAAGAAATAATAACAAACAACAGTTGTGGTGATAAGAATGTAGACTAGTTAATTTATTTTATGTTCTTCTTTAGTCGTGATAAGAAGACTCAAAGTTTTTGTCATTTTTTTCTCTTTTTAATAATTGTTGATGAGAATTGTATCTGCTACTGGAATATTAATTGTCATTGCGTGATAAATTTTTGAAGAGTATTTATGAGCGTACTGGTTCATTAAGATACAGTAGGCTATAGAATAGAGTTGTATTTTTATAGCATTCACATCGTAGAAAAGTATTGAAATTTATGCAAAGCTGTAGTCTAGATTAAGTGCTTTTTGGAAGATTTATTGCTTAGCAAGTTTTTGAAGTGAAACTAATTTTTTATGAATCTTGGAAGAGTGCTGAGAGGAAACTTACATTTTATTATCCAAATTAACTGTCAGATTTACAGCATGTGATTAAAAAAATTAATAGAAGTTTGACATCAACTTTCTGCTGCTGTTGAACTTGAATTCTTCCTAATCTGTATTATGTCAACTTACTCCGTGGTCATCTAGCTTAGATGATCTGGTGATTAGACTTTTGACTGTGAAAAGAGACCATAGGTAGAGCTATGTCCCAGGACATCACGAAAATTGTCAAAAATTCTTAATAAAATAGTGATAATTTAATGATTTGACTTTATGCAACAAAAACCTTTGTACAACCCCTGAAAAAAGTTATGACTCTGCTCGGCATTTTATAAACTGGTATGGAAGCCACCGTTACACATGTGAACGGAGGAAGTAAGAGCTTTTTCCTCGCTTAGATCAGTTAATTCATATTTTGAATGTGAAACTAATATGAAAATTGTTTTCAGCCAGTTCAAATCTCCAGTTTTTGATTTCCATCCTGCCTAGCGCCAAACTTAATTCAATGTCACTGGTTCGCTTGTTCTAGGAATTCTAGAAGCTTAGCTCTTGACCGATTCATTCAACAATAAAATTTCCAACTTTAACCATATTGATCAAAACTTGAGATTTCACCAAAGTAACTCAAATTTCAATAAATTTAAGATAATCTCTAACGTTCACGTTTATAAGCTCCATTATGTCTGGTTTTTCACTTTTAAATTTCAAAAAATTAATTATGAATATTAAAATGAAATTATTTTAATTGCTTTATATTATTTTGATTTAAATTATAATCAATTCCATTTTTAAAACTTATCAAATTCGTGAGAAAACTTAATGAAACATAACAATTGTTGCTTTTAATATTTGCTGTGCTCTTACCTTATAGTTCAAGTCCCAGAAGCTTACTAAAGTTTAGTAGAACATTTTACAATTTTGTGAATGATTTTTTTTTGTGTAACGTAATTGTTATATTAAATTGGATAAGATTTACATTACTTTGTGGATATGCGTTGTGCTAGCTTTGCTGATTGCCACTTCCTGATTTGGATTTTTGCTAAAAATAGATTCAAGTTAATTCTTTAGTTTTGTGCATGTTACAAAGGATTTCCATTTATACTAATAATAAACCTTTTAAATTTAAATAACTAGATTCTAGTCAAGTCCATAGAATAGACAAAATTCCACTAAATCCAACTTCAATTTTCATCTAATCCACAGGATATAGTTTTCTTCAATGACGCCTACACCAACTCATCAAGCAGTGGTGATGGAAGTCCTGATTTTGAAACAGCAAAATCCTCATCAGGCGAAAAATCACCACAGCGCAATCAATCGTTCCTTGCGGCTGTCATCAATGCCATAAAAAATGCAACAACAAGCAAACAAAATCAAAATCAATCGTCACATAATAATAATAATAAATGTCGGGATGTTGAAGACGATGACTCAACAGAAATGCTCGATTCTGAAACCGAACCATGTTTAATGATGGAAAATGTCCTCGAAGACGTACAGATGCCTGACTCACATTCACATAATCTCGTCTCAACATCACAAATAATGTTGTCACAAGTTGAGATTCCATCGGAAGTATTAAAAAGCTCCATGCATGACTATCGAGAGTGTTCATTCGATAATTTATCGCAAGCCATTGCTAATCGTCAACAGATTGAGATGCAAACAAATGCAATGGCTTGTAGACGACATAATTCAGAGAGAAATAGTACATCGGATGACATAAGTCAGGAATCTTGTGCTGATGTTCAATCGATTGGAGAATATTGTACAGCACAAACTATTGTCGATCAAGTCATTGAAGTTGACAATTCCATTACGAAATTACTGAAAGTCCTTCGAATAATACAGATGGATAATGATAATTGCATTCAGGAGCTGGTTACTGACAAGTAAGAATGATTATGGATCAATGGGGTGACTTAATGGTCAGGAGTATGTCATGGGAAGGGTTTTGGATGTTGCTTCTGATTTTTGGAGTATGATAGGGATTAATAATTGTCAATTTTAATAGTTTATGAGTACGAAGGTCTTTAAACCTTAAATTTAAGCATCAAATACCCCCTAATGACTACTCATCCCTCTCAGCTTCAATTTAATAGTTTCCAGCATTTAAAAACTAATTAAATCTCATCAACAATTTTCATTTCAGAAACAAGATACAAGTCAGTAAAGAAGAGAGCATCGAAAAGCTCACCGAATGGGAGATGATTAATCAGAAATTAAAAGGAGATTTAAAGGATGCCACACAGCAGTTGATTGTAAAGAGTAATGAACTCGTAAATTGCAAGACAGAATTGCAGAGACATCGCCAGGAGATTGATGTAAGTTGCAAGGAAACTACAAGAAGAACTATAATTAATGTTGTTAATTCATTTTATTGTTGTGTCATTTTAGAGACTTAATCAAGACATTTGTAGTCTCAGCACGTTGTGCACGGAGAGAAATGAGAAGAAAATTGACAAGGATGAGATTCTTTCGAAATTGAAAGTGTGGCAGCAGACTGGTAATTTACCGGAAGATGAGATTGTTTCACATGTTGTATCCGCTTGTAATGAGGTAAGTTTGTGCTGATTTACGAGTCAGTTCTGTGAACATTTAACTAATTGACTGAATTTAATCAACTTCCAGGTTCCAATTCTGAAAGAAAAACTACGCGAAAAAGAACGTCAATTGACTGATATTTCAAACAGTTCTGTGATGAATAACGGTTGGCATCAAGCAATTGCAGAAGCTAAACGTCAATATGATGCCATTGACGGAGCTCTTGAGGTAGCTTTTTGAATCTTAATTCTCTAAATTCCTGAAAATTAAATTCATATTTTGTTTCTAGACTCTTCACAGCATCCAAAACATCGTAAAAGACTGTCCAGAGTTGACGAAACTCCAACGCGAATTAGAAGAGACAAACTTCAATACAATCAGCACATTGCCATTGGGTCATTTGAGCTTATCAAATGGAAATTTAGTTACAGCTGATTTAAATGCAAATGAATCTACACTTAATGATAGTGGAAATGCACAAATCATTGACTCGGCTGCTTGAGATTAAATAAATAAAATTATTAATTTGTGATGACTCATGATTGGCTATGTGTAAATGATTAATGAAGAATAGATTTTAAAGAAAATTTAACGTATTATGAAAAATTTCAATACTTTGTCATGTTCTTCATATATTTATTGTCATTTTAATATGCATGAAGGAATTAGTGGAACTTTTAATTCAATAAAATTTGAGATTTTGAATTTTATTTTGATTTGTTGGATTTTGGAATTATCTGGTTCTAATTGTTTGGTATATCCTAGGATAGTATGGACACTAGACATGATGCTTATATAATTGCTAAACTTAACGTTTATTATTAGTCTAGTTATTAAGCGTTAAGTTTACCCGAATAGCACAAGTTGGTTAATCAATTAATAATCCGGCACTTAGCTGGTGCCGGATTACTGATCGATTAAGCGACTTGTGTCATTCGGGCTAGTGTTTGACTCAAAGCTTTATTCAATCAAAAAAGGTTCTGAACCATTGCCTTTGAATATATCAAGCAACAGCTGCAAAATTAAAGCTGCTTTTCGACTCATAAATCCATCCATGATGTGCACAAGCTCATAGAAGATTAGAAACCTAGCCAGAAATTCCAATAAAAGTTAAAATTTTCAAATAAAAGTTCAACAATCCTTCATGCTATTTTATCGTCTCTCTTACAATTTAAAATAACAACAACAAACACAAAATTAAAGGAATCAAACAAACCCACCCGCATGTGATGATTTTTTTTTCTTCTTCTCCAAAATGATTCAAAAAATGTGATTTTCAAAATTTTGTTGCAAAAGTTTTTCATCAACAAAAGGCAAAAAAAAATATTTTTTAAGCATCCTGAGGGGTATATCATGGAAGTAGTTACCTATGCGACAAAAAGGTTCAAGTTGACGAGATCGTTCACTGTTCGACATATTTTAGAAATAGTTGAACCTGCTTGTCGTATGGTGATGTGACAATTGACAGTCATGTGGCTGCTATGAAAAATTTAAAGCTACGATATGTCATTTGTGCATTTATCGTCTACATTTTTTAATTTTCTACTTGATTATTTCATTTTCCGAACTTCTTTAAATCCTTCAATATTTTTGGAATACAAAAAAACATTCAGCTTAGTACTTTTTAAGAAATTTCACTGTAATTTATATTAAAATATTCAGATGGTTGAGAATAAAGCAAGAGGTGCTAACTCATTGGTCGTCAAAAGTTAAGCATTGGTTTAAGTAAATGAAAGTTGAATTATCAAAAAGTTCAGGAAAATGAAGAAATTTTTCATGTCTGAAGTCAATTTAATTCGTAAATCATCTCTTTGGATATGCTTCCATCAATTAAAGCAATCTGAAGACGATTGGATTGACACCTAAATTACCGGAATTACAAAAATTATTTACAAATTTTATAAGATTTCCATCAAAAAATCTTCAAAATTATTAGCTTCTTGACTTTAACTGAGCAGCGGCTTAGTGCTTAAAACTGAATTCATCTCCGACCACAGAGTAACCACCCCTTGACACAAATAAAATCCATTCAAACAATTTAATATTTCTAAATTTTCCAAAAAAAATTTCATTCTTCTAACAACTTTTGATGTCATGACTGAAATTTCTACGAAATGGAAATTTTTCTATTGTCGAATGATGTCCAAAATGGCAAAAGGAATTGAATTAAATTTGTAAACAATAAAAATTATTATACATTAGGCATCAAAAAATATTCTAAAATTAAAATTTTCGTCCAAAAATTCTTCAATTTCTTAGTTCAATCAAAATTATCGATTAAATATTGAAATATAAACAATAAGCACCTTTCCTGCCTGGAAAATGCGCTTACAATGTTGTTAATGACGCTTTAAAATTTTATTTCCGTAAAATTGCGTCCAAAATGTCATTAAAATTTGCTTTTATTTTTAAAGACTGAACAATGCATAAAAAATGAAGAAGGAATTGCTGAAGAATTAAGAGAAAAATAAAAAAATAATGTTTGTTAATGGATATTGAGACAATGGCATGGTTTTAATGCTTTTTTTCAGGGTTGATGTCTGGGAATGCTGATCGTTGATTGTGGGAAGTTTAATTAAGATTTTTGAAGGTTGAATTTACTTAAATTCACTGATTTCAACTTTAAGTGTTTAAATTTTGTCTTTATTAAATTAAGTTTAACCAGAATTTATCCTAAGACTTATTTTCGTAGATGCTTATAATTACTAATGACGCAGTAAGAAAAAATTTCATTACTAGGTATCATATTTAATTATTCTTTAGGTATTACCTTACAAATCATCCTAGTAACCATCCCAGACAACAACTCTGCATTTAAATATTTTTTGCGTCATTTTAAAATCAAAATGTGCCCTTTTGTAGCATTTAAAAATAATTTGTAATGCGATTTTGCGAACGAAAACAAGACAAAGTTTTCAACTTTATATAAAAAAAATCCGAACGAGCTTGAAAATTCCTATTTTTATGTTCCATTAATTTTATGTAACGCTATTAAAGCTTTTTTGAATGTCAATTGTTTATTTTACCTTTTTTTTTGTATAAGAAGTAATTGTTTGAGTCCATAAAATGAGGAATTGGAAGTTGAAGAAAAAAAGAATTAAAAGACTCAAGAAGGGATAATAGAAATCAAAAAAGGAATTGAATTATAAATTTATTTTTGTGCATAGATAGGTTGATGTTAAGTTTTGGATTTAACATTTTGAATTTTTAAAAATCTAAAATTTCCAATTTTTGAAAAATTCAAATTATTTCTAAATTCAATTTTTTTTTATTATTTTTTTTTTTTTATTATTAAAAAATATTCAATATAAAAAAAGTTGAATTTTTAAAAAATTGAATTTTAAACATCAACATTTTAAAATTTTGAAAATTTTTTCAAAAATAAAAAATATTATCTGAGATTTGAAAACCTTTAAAATACTTTTGAGTGTCTTTGAATCCACACAAAATCTCAAAAAAATCCTAGTTTCAACCTCACAACCTTCAACATAAAATCACAAATTAAAGGTTAAAATTCGGTCTTACTTTATTAAAGCAAAAATTGCCTTGTTTAATAAAATCATTAAGTGAAATTTCATTTTAATTACATTTTTAATCCTAAGTCTGTCCTTTTTAACACCTTTTCCAATTTAAACTTTCCTTTTTTTGCCATAAATATTTTAGATTCTCACTTTTTTTTGTGACCCACTCGAAAATTATTTACTTTATCATTTTTATGAACTTGATTGTAGACATTAAATTGTAAATATTATAAGAAACAAATCGTTTCTGTTTTTGAGATTCTTAATTTTTTAGAATTGCTTGTTAAAAATCTTTTTTCTTTTTGATAATTTGAAATTTAAACTTTATTGTAAGGATAATCAAAAGAAAAATCAATAAAAATATAAATTGAAATTTGAAAAAATTTAAAACCACGTTTTTTTTTTCATTTTATTTCAGAATAGGACTGCCGTTAATTATAAAGGAATAAACAACTAAAGCTTGAAATGTAAAATGTAATTTTCGATATCTGACTTTTAAATTGTAGCTAATTTTCGTAATAGTTTTAGCTTCCTCCCTCTTTTATTTTAATCCTCCCTATATTCATTACGAAATCAAAAAATGGTTTAAAATTTGTCACCCAACCTACAGCTCGCAACTCAAAATCAATCATATTGATATGTATATCAATAGAAAGCTACAAAGGTCTAGTAGGGCGGAAATTTAGGCGCTTTGCGTGAATCGTCTTAGTTTTCGAGATATAGTGAAAATAGTGTTTAGTCTGGTGGATTATAAATAAATACAATGGATTATTGCACTTTATTGCACTTTATTGCATTTATTGACGACATACTGTCCGGTAATAATTCACATTTTACACTTTTGTATTTGTATACATATAAATTAATATTATGTAGGATCAAACTTCTAATCTTCAAATCTAGGTTTCAAATAAACTAAGGCTCTCGTTTCGATCTTCTGTAGGCGTGACTTGAAACTTTTCAGGTCCGTTCTAACAATATTCCATTCGTGGGTAATCTTGTAGCTCTCGTTCCTGTTTCTCCCGCTACACTCTAAGTTCCTGACCCGATCCTCAATCCAACGTTGCCCAAATGCCCAATTATGGCTTGATCTCGTACATTAAGCAGTCGAAGTATCTAAACTTCCGAAAAAGAACAAATGTGGAAATGGCTGGATTCGAACCGACGACCTTCGAGTTACCATACCAAATTTGAGCCAAGCGCCTTACCTATTCGACCAGCAATGCACTTAACTGCTTGCTCAGTAATATCTTTTAATTTTCAAATCCATTTTTTCCGGGTGATATCTTAAATTAAAGGTAATTATTAGGAGAATAATCGACCATTAAAAGAATTTCATTTTATTTGGTTTTAAGTGGGTTTAAGAAATATTTATGTAAATCTTGAATAATTTTAAACCGGATTTGAGGGTATATTAGCATTCTTTATCATTTATAATACCTCGATATGTTTTAAAATGCAATTTAAAGCATTTTTGGTATCGATCATAGTAGGCTATTTTCAAAAAAATATCGATTTTATATCTATAAAAACATTCTTTATCATTTATAATACCTAGATATGTTTTAAAATGCAATTTAAAGCATTTTTGGTTTTCGATCAAAGTAGGCTGTTTTAAAAAAATATCGATTTTATATCTATAAAAACATTCTTTATCATTTATAATACCTCGATATGTTTTAAAATGCAATTTAAAGTATTTTTGGTTTCTGATCATAGTAGGCTATTTTCAAAAAAATATCGATTTTATATCTATAAAAACATTCTTTATCATTTATAATACCTCGATATGTTTTAAAATGCAATTTGAAGCATTTTTGGTTTCTGATCATAGTAGGCTATTTTCAAAAAAAAAATCGATTTCATATCTATATAAACATTTCTTTATCATTTATAATACCTCGATATGTTTTAAAATGCAATTTAAAGTATTTTTGGTTTCTGATCATAGTAGGCTATTTTCAAAAAAATATCGATTTTATATCTATAAAAACATTCTTTATCATTTATAATACCTCGATATGTTTTAAAATGCAATTTGAAGCATTTTTGGTTTCTGATCATAGTAGGCTATTTTCAAAAAAAATCGATTTCATATCTATATAAACATTCTTTATCATTTATAATACCTAGATATGTTTTAAAATGCAATTTAAAGCATTTTTGGTATCGATCATAGTAGGCTTTTTTCAAAAAAATATCGATTTTATATCTATATAAACATTCTTTATCATTTATAATACCTCGATATGTTTTAAAATGCAATTTAAAGCATTTTTGGTTTTCGATCAGAGTAGGCTATTTTCAAAAAATATCGATTTTATATCTCTATAAACATTCTTTATCATTTATAATACCTAGATATGTTTTAAAATGCAATTTAAAGCATTTTTGGTATCGATCATAGTAGGCTTTTTTTAAAAAAATATCGATTTTATATCTATATTAGCATTCTTTATCATTTATAATACCTAGATATGTTTTAAAATGCAATTTACAGCATTTTTGGTTTCGATCATAGTAGGCTATTTTCAAAAAAATATCGATTTTATATCTATATTAGCATTCTTTATCATTTATAATACCTAGATATGTTTTAAAATGCAATTTATAGCATTTTTGATTTCGATCATAGTAGGCTATTTTCAAAAAAATATCGATTTTATATCTATAAAAATGCAATTTAAAGCGTTTTTGGTTTTCGATCAAAGTAGGCTGTTTTCAAAAAAATATCGATTTTATATCTATAAAAACGTTCTTTATCATTTATATTACCTAGATATGTTCTAAAATGCAATTTAAAGCATTTTTGGTTTTCGATCAAAGTAGGCTGTTTTCAAAAAAATATCGATTTTATATCTATATTAGCATTCTTTATCATTTATAATACCTAGATATGTTTTAAAATGCAATTTAAAGCATTTTTGGTTTCTGATCATAGTAGGCTATTTTCAAAAAAATATCGATTTTATATCTATAAAAATGCAATTTAAAGCGTTTTTGGTTTTCGATCAAAGTAGGCTGTTTTCAAAAAAATATCGATTTTATATCTATAAAAACGTTCTTTATCATTTATATTACCTAGATATGTTCTAAAATGCAATTTAAAGCATTTTTGGTTTTCGATCATAGTAGGCTTTTTTCAAAAAACTATCGATTTTATATCTATATAAACATTATTATTAGTAGATATAACGATTTCAAATTTTAATCTGATGGATTTATTTTAATCCTCCCTGTTAAATATTCATTAATTAACGGTCATTTTGATTTCATTTTTATTATTCATTACGAAATCAAAAATGGTTTAAAATTTGTCACCCAACCTACAGCTCGCAACTCAAAATCAATCATATTGATATGTATATCAATAAAAAGCTACAAAGGTCTGGTAGGGCGGAAATATAGGCGCTTTGCGTAAATCGTCTAAGTTCTCGAGATATAGTAAAAAAAGTGTTTAGTCTGGTGGATTATAAATAAATCCAATGGATTAAATATTAAATAATTTTCAAATCCATTTTTTCCGAGTGATATCTTAAATTAAAGGTAATTTTAAGGAGAGAAATCGACTACTAAAAGAATTTCATTTTATTTGGTTTCAAGTGGGTTTAAGAAATATTTATGTAAATCTTGATTAATTTTAAACCGGATTTGAAGGTTTAATTTTATTTATTTTGCTTTATTGGCACACAATGCTCCTAAAATGTCAAAAATGCATTCAAATAGCTAAAACCACTTATGATTGAAAGAAAAAAAAATGATATAATTTTTTTGTTGATAGTAGCTTGTCTTAATCCAGTAACACGGATTAACTAGTGCTTGATCTCCATCATTAATCCTGACTTATTTATTGTATTGAAATTATTTGGAATATTTACACCGTATTTACGTTGGTTCACGTTCTTTTGCAATTCTATTGGTTTTGTTCAGATTGAAAAATCATTTTTCGCATTTTGTGAGAAAACGGAGCAAAATTGGTTATAAAAGATTCTAGAAGAAAAGTTTGCGTTTAAAAATTCACATCTTATGCAAAAAATAAGGTTTCAATTTGGTTGAGGTATTGCTTAGAAAATCACAAAATACGCTTTCTATAAGCAAGCAAAAAAGCATGCAAGTTAATCAGCAAGAAATCTCAATAACGAGACATTGTAAAGACTTCTGGTTTTCTACATTTGATCCATGCTGCTTTATAGAAGAGCTGTATTGTTTTTGGGCAAGGTAGGAACAGCCGTTGCTTCAGAAAAAGCAAAAAACTTTCCTTTCTTACGAATTTTTCAAAACAAATGTTCTCTGTGATTTTTATAAAATTCAACTTTGGACGAAAAATTTTTTTTAAAAACTTTTAAAGAATGTTCGTTAAGCTTTAAACCTTCAAACATATGCTCAGCGAAGCTCAGCTGACTCATTAGCTTTATATCTTCAAACATATGCTGAACGAAGCTCAGCTGACTCGCTGGCTTTATACTTTCAAACCTACCAAGCTTTATAACTTCAAACTTATGCTAAGCAAATCTTGGTCTATCCATAAGAATTTTGATGGCACGGTGTGAATATATCCACATTGAGTTTACCAGATACACTACTTTTCGTTTTGTGATATATATAAAAGAACTGTAATCTAACATAAGTCAAATGCGGAAGCTAGTGACTTTCTACGTAAGTCGTGTTTTTTGTAAATTAAATCATGGATTGATGTTTAATATCGATGAAAATAATGCAAAGTTCATCATTAGCATTAGAACTGGACCAACAAAAAGTCTTGCAACTGAGGTTCTGAAAAAAATAAATCTTTCCTATTTACTAAAATTTTTATTACCATTTAAGCATTCAATTTAGAATTTAGACGAAAAAGCAATCTCATTTATTATTCACGTCATTCCATGATCTGTTCCGTAAGGATGCATAACCTCAAATTCGCCAAGCAGACAATAGAGCAGGAAAATTACATACATGGCAATACAAAAATATCCAATTGATCGTCGACATACAAAATCCGTGCACAGCAATGCGAATAGTGTAAATAACAAAATCAGCACTAGAAACAGAATGCAATTTGGTCCCATTGCACCTTCACGAGTCTGCGAAATAAATAAACGAAGAGAGAAATAATTGGCGATGAATATTTTTGCTAGTCACGTTCTATGTATAAAAATTTTTGTGATTTTTGGTGCTTTTTAAAACTTGTTAAGAAATTTTGAGAGCATTTTGAGAAGATTTTAGAGGAGATTAATAACAAAATGGAATTATTAGAAACCCTAGAAGCTGATACAGTGATAAAAATTAGGGATCGTTCATAGTTGATGTCAAACTATAATTCAGATGAAAGGTGTCAGTGGCTATGAAAGAAAATTTCTATTTCTAACGGGGTCCAAAATCTAATTTTTCAAATGACATCATTGATAAACAAGCCCAAAACCCTAAACAACATAAAACCCCTAGAAATGCGCCTTATTCACTTTGAACCAAAATCATAACCTTACTTAATTCCCACCCACTAAATGTTCTCACAAAATAAATAAAATGGAAACTTACATGAGCTAAATTATTATCCGATCGGATACCTTTTATAATGAACGTTAATCCAATACCAAGCAATGAATCTGTAAATAAATAACATCATTTTGACATCATGTTAAACACGTAATGTACATTGCATGTACACGACAGACTGGATTTAAAAAAAAGACATCTATAAATTTATTTGCTACTCACTAAACATTGGTCCACCAAAGCATGCAGCAAATGCCATCTGTTGATATCCTTGTTTTGCCAATGCAATATTTGCAAATACATCGCCAACGCTATTTCCCCATGCCAAAATGGATAAGCCGACCATTGAATCTGTCAAGTCGGAAATAATTCCCACTGTCGTCATAACACTTACGACTTCCTTTGCAACGTTATAAATCACCAAAATTGATCCAGCGAAACTTCCGACTGCGAATGCGACATGATATTTTGGTGGACAGTCATTTCGTGAGGTCTTGTAGACTGCAATGTCTATTGCAATGGAAACGATGAAAACTAAAACAGCTAACGGAACATAGCCGAAAATCATGAATGTAAATTGATGGATGGAAAGAAGAACCATTTGTGGAAGAATTATGATGTTAAGCATGTTGAGTAGTTTTGACCATCCATGAAGCTCTTCGCCGTAATCGACGATGGGGATTATTAAGGTGAGAAGAAATAGGATCGGGGCCTGGAAGAGATTTAAAATGTGATTTAAATAGTTTTAATAGGCTGATGATTTTAGGGATTAATCTATGGATCATTAAGGACACGTCTGTTGATGGCAAGCTGTTCTAAACTTGCCATTGCAACAATGAACCTGTAGCTTACCTTAATAATCATGAAGAATTTCCCTAAGTAACCAGCTTTCTTCCAATCCGTCTTATCCACAGGATTTATAGCCTTAAAGAACTTCTGAAATAAACCCTCATTTGGATCCTCTCCAAACTCTCTTTTGAATGCTGTTGTTATTTCTTCTGTTAAAATCACAGATGAATCCCTTCGATTTCTTATTTGAATCTCCGTTATAAGTTCCAGCTCTTCAACCTTGTTCTGAACATCCTTATCTGTTGATTCAGTACTTGACCTGTTTGACGATTCCTTTAATTGCTTCAACTTCCTTTTGTAGACGAAATGCTCAATAATGACAACCGAAAGATAAATAATGTAAATTCCAACAGTCAGAAATCCCTCATAAATCTCATACAGCTGATCATGAATGGAAGCATGAATGTAAATGGCAGCAAAAGTAAAGAAAAGAACGTCTCTGACATAAGTTTTCCACTCAAGCTTGAACGGTCGCATAATCATGATGATTCCAATAACAAATCCAGTCACAAATGCTGCACCACCAATTAGTTGGGTGTACATCAGTTCAGTATCGCCATGGGTATTCAAGAGTGATGTAAAAATGTCTGGTGATCCGTTTCCAAATGCAAGCAATGTAACACCCCCAAGATTTTCGCTTAAACCGAGCATTTTTGAAATGACTGCAAGTGCTGGACAGAAGCTATAAAAATTTTATTAGAAAATTTGTAAGGATGATGATTGTTTGGAGGTTGAATGGGGCTAAGACGCATTTTATGACTATTTGAAGCAGGAATGTGTGCCATTGGATAAAGAAGCTGTTTGAATAACCTTAAAGATTCTGGCTAGTCTACTGGATTTAAGTAAATTTGATTATATCAAACTTTATGAATACGACTATCCAATATCAACAGTCATTTGACTATTAACCTCAAACAATCCACAATCCCGACAACATCGACCCAAATTCACTCCATCCCATCCCAAAACATTAACCATTTCAAATGTCAAAGCACACAAAAAGTTGTTACCCACTCAACTTACAATTTGTCAGCAGTTGTTCCAAGCGTAATGAACAAGTAAACGCACATGATGCAAACAATAAAAAATCCACCGATATAATCATGCATGTTTGTGGCACCAACAGTGCAGAATATGAATTTGAGATAGTCCATATAGTGGACATTTCTGCCACATTCTAAATGCGAACTAATGAAACTGCATCGATCTGTATAGTTGAGTTGCATGACGTGTGCACATGGTAGCTATAAATGTGGAATAGAAGAAGAGACAATTTTGTAATAATGAAGAGAATTGAAATGAAAGAAAATTTATCATTAAGATGAGTGAGGATTATGAGGATATTTCTGTAAGGTTTTATAAGTTTTTCTTTGTTATTAGATAATTTCTGACTGGATTGACCTTAGTTTTAATTAAGTTCTCTGGTTAAATGATACAAAGTCTTAGAATCAAGCTTAATGAAGATTGAGTTTTAAGATTTTTGACTTTATTTAGTATTTGAATCACAAAATGCATGTTATTTACTTACAAGATATGGATCAGTTACATTCGAAATGTGCCTGTTGTCGATTATAAATTTATCAATCATTTCTTAAAAGAGTTTTAATTTTAATTTCTTTTTCGAGAGATTTTAAAAGTATTTTTCACAACAAAATAATTACAAGTCAAGTAAAGCATGATTCCTATGATGAAAATTGGAAATTTCATGAAATATTCATTCAAATTTTACATGGTTTGAGGCTCAGTAAGCTTTGGATGCAATTCATGAATAAACAGATTATAAAATGTTTAAATCCTTTGTAATCAAATTTTGAATTAAAAGTTTTTTTTAAATGAAGTGTCAACAAGCAGCTCAAGACTTGCTTAATCATTAAATGTTAAAGTACAACATGAATTGATTTTGATTATGGTTTGGAAACTAAAGAAAGAAGAAATTTCATCAATAGAAAAGTTTAATGATCTTATATGAAGACCTTTCGAAGCTCCATTAGTAAAGACCTGTAAGTCTGACTTTGTTGATGGCAAGAGAGAATGTGGATGATCGAAGAACTTAGGAAGAAGGCTGTTATTAGAAACACATTACAAGATTGAATTTTTTATTGGAAATTGTTAAGCTGTAGACAGTGAAAGAGCCAACTTCCAGCAATATCTAATTGAAGCCATAGATCACAATTGATGTTTACGAACTGTAAAAGTAAGTAGAAAGAATTCAACTTTTTAAATATATTATTGTGTCTATAAAAAGGTTTTTGATTAGAACCATGCTTCCGATGGAGAAGTAATATGAAGATAGGGGGAGGGCCTACCAAGAAACACTAATCTCAGTGGTGTAGATAGATGCTTTTCCATTTATCTTTCTTAATGGGACGTTCACTTATTACGTTCGCATTTTAGGGGGGGGGGGGTTGAAAAATTGTAACAAAATGTAACATAGGGGGGGGGGGGGGGGGGGTGTCAAGAAGTATGTAACGTTCTAACTGTCGTCTGTCTTTTAAAAAAAAGTTCACGAAAAAAATTTGTTTACAAATTCACATCAAAAACATTTTTTTAAATTTTCCACCTTTATGAATGTCCAGATCATTTTTGATAGCTAAGGGGCCATTCACTTATTACGTAACGCTTTTAGGGGGAGGGGGGGGTCTAAGATTTTGTTACGATTCAAACAAGGAAATTAATTTTTCATACAAATTTTGTTACGAGGGGGGGGGGGGGGGGTTTAAGAAGTCATTTTTTCGCGTTACGTAATAAGTGAACAGCCCCTAAGCAATACATAGTTTTTGTTATATAAAGTAACAAATCAATAGAAAACTGGTTTAAAAGACTTTAAAATACAATCATAATACCTATAAAAAATTATCAAAATAAAATAAATTATGAACGTTCAGGGGGGGGGGGGGGGGGGTTGTGAGTTGTAACATATTGTAACAAGGGGGGAAGGGGGGTGAAAAAAGAGTCATTTTTTGCATAACGTAATAAGTGGACGGCCCTAAAGGGTTGTGGTTGGAACCATCTTATTTGAAAACTAAGGTATGAAAAGAAGCATAGCTAGAATCTTGCTGAAAATAAAATAAATCCACTCTAAAAACAAAAGTCTCCCAAAATTGTTCTTTAAAAGTTCATTCTTCTTTATTTTCTTATTTTAACAAATTTTACAATTCATATTCACACAAAATTTTCAATTTTTTTTTCAAAAATGATTTTTATGAGAAGTTCTTCAAACTTGAGGAACACAACTGGCTTCAATTTATTTCTCTTTAGTTTTAAAGTCTGATTCACAACATAGTCTTCAAACCTAAGTCCAGATCAAAGCCATTATGTCAATTAAATTACAATTAAAGTATAATTGTGTAAATTTGAGTATTATTTGTGAATTTTTTATATTTCATGATTAAAAAATTAATTTTTGAGTGTAAGTTGATGATTTGTGTGCATGTATGACATGTGTAAGTGCAGCAACGAATCCCTGAAAATTTTTCCTAAAACTTTTTTTTTTCATCTCCTGAAATATTTTGAAGAGGATTTATAATTTTTATAGCCACATTGGTTCCAAAAGGATCCGTCACTATGGATTATCAAGTCATGATGTGTGTTTATGTACTCATGTGCAAATTGTGGTCATTATTTGGTTTGTGATTGCATAATGATGATTGCAGTTTATGATTATTTTGTTGTGGTGATGATGATGATGATGTGTGTATGTATGTGCAATAGTGTAAATGTGTCTAGTGTAAAGTGTGCGTTTGCATGAGATGTGTAAGAAATTAATTATATTAATGGTGGTATCAGGATCAAAGCTTTTTTCAAACGTCTTAAATATTTGTCTGACTCTAAAATTCCTGCTGGCTTCATCCCTACGTTAGTGTAATATGTGATGAATTAATGATATTCAATTTCCAAATTCAGAATGCTTTGAACAAACTTTGAGATCTAGACAAGATTACGTAGGTCTAGTCAAATTCAAGCTATGATTTCTTTAAGTTTGTCGATGCAAGAACCTTTAGGAAATTCATAATAGACAACTGATCAGTTGTCTGCATGCATAGATCATTATTGCCTTTGCATTCTTAATTATAGGTATGAATTAAATAATGGGTGCTCTAACATGAGCTTAAGCTGTTTAATGATTGACGATTTAAGATTAGTAAGTGTCAGAGGCATAGCATAGGGTAGAAAATTGACATAGCTTAGTAGATTTCATTTGAAAAACACTATAAACTTTTAAATCTCCCTCGAAAATGTCTAGGCTTGCCTCTAATTTATGTAATTTAATGTTTGATGTTTGATGATGTGTTCTTGATTGTATTTGATTGTCTGATTAAATTTTATGGGATTGAGAAACTGCATTCTAAAGTCTTGTTCACATAGAAAAACATGAAGACGACCCTAATCGTTCCTCATATCCTAGTCACTTATTTTGTAAATTCTACTGGCAACAGATTTGACTTTAAACTTGCTTAATGCACCTTAAAATAGAATTTTAGGGCACTAGCCAACATTAAAGCATGATGATAGTTACCCCGAATTGGACAAGTCAGTTAATCGATCAGAAATCCGGCAGCAAGCGAGTGTGCCTCTGGCATGGTGCTGGATTTGAATCAAAGCCAGCACCATGCTGTCTTAACACTAGATTTATATTCGTTGTGCTATTCGGTTACCAGTAGCTTCATTTTTATTAAATATTAATTCAAAGAGTAAATAGTTTAGTGATGTTAAAGTATTTCTGAATTTTTTTATTATTCTTTAAATTCACTTCTGTATGAACTTTTTTAATTTTAACTTTTTTTTATATTATCGTATTTATTATGATTATGATTATTTTTTGAGTTTTTTATCTTTAACTTTTTTCAAACTTAAAAACGAAAACTTTAAAGGATAAATGGATATAGATAAGTAGTAAGGTTTAGTGTCTGGGCTATGTAGAGATTGGTAGGTCGGTATTTGTGTGCATAATAAGGATTTTTTGACTGATAAAATTAGAATTTAGTATTTTCAAGCTAAATTTTGGTTTCATGAGCCAAATCTAGTGACTTTGTAGTTTAAATACCTCTTCATCTCCACACAACCCAGGATGATAACTAAAGAAAAAGAAAAAAATAACCTTAAAAAATAAGAAACTTAAGAGATTTTTTTTGTTGTTTTTCATATTATTGTATTTCACATGTGATTGTTGTGTCTATGTGTGTGCAAAAAATATTTAATGAAAAACAAAAACATTTTTTTTTAAAATATAGAATTAAACATTATTGTGTAATTTTTTTGATGATGTTTCAATGCCACGGCGCTTCTGAACTTTATGAAATTATTTTTGGATGTGCATTCAATATTGTGTCTCCAAACCGACATTGTGATGTGATTGTGTAGTTAATGTGATGATTAAACATATGACGATGACATGATGATGTATGAAGTTTTCTGTTTGTTTTAGTCCAAATTTATTCTCCCTATTGTGTCCATTACATTTCCATATTTTTTTTGTGTTGGGGTTTTGTTGAGAATTATGAAAAAAAAAAATTAAAAGTTTAACATTAGTTTAAATTGCCACAAACAATTGTCCTGTCGGGACAGATAAATTTTATTTTTTTGGGGAGATGAAAAAGTTTGAATAATTGTCCTAAATGAGGAGAGGCAGAAAAGACAAAAATTTGTGTATCATCATAAAACATTGTTTTATGACAATTTCATGAACATTTCTCCTCATTTACAAGTCATTTTCATTAAAAATGCTTGTTCACTTCTTCTTCTTATTGGTTTGGGGGATTTGTTTATTTTATAGCGCGTTTCTAAACAGATTGATTCAAATGCTGAGGATTTTTTGTAGGATAGTTCAATACTCTCTTAATTCCATCGTTATATTCAGGAAAAACTTAGTATTTATCAATGTGAAACCTAGTTTAATATAGACAAACCAAGTTTATATCCTAATACAACCTAGTATGCATCCTAGTGTACCTTAAACATTATATTCTTGAGAATCTCAAAAAAATCTCCAAAAACTGCGCTCATAAAATAAACAATTTTCATCTCCAAAAAAAATGTCCTATATCATTTTTATATGTGAATTTATTTGTGTACACAAAACACTTACCGTCATCATCTCCATGAATCTGAATCATCCAAATGAAAACGATGTCGCAATTTATGAAAATGAGAAAAAAAAGAAAAAAAAATGAAAAATGATGATCACAATAATTACTCGAAAAATTACGAGCCATTAAGGTGTGTGATGATCTCTAGACTATGTGCAAGCAGTGCTTAAGAGAAAAAAGGTGGGAGAAGATTTTATTTAAAGTGTCCCACACCATTGATTTTAATTCTTTTTGATGCTCTTCTTGAATAAATAAAAGCACAAAAGCGTACGCGTTGTTGACAAAAAAATAATAATAATTTTTATTATGTAAATTTCTCCCCTACATGCAGTAACTTTTCTTATCTCGCAGAGTAATTTTTAAACTTTGTCGTCTTCTTTTTCTTTGATTTAAGACTTTTAAGCGCCTCTCCCTCACGTGATGATAATCTCTTTTCAAGTTAATTCAACAACAAAATATTTAATTATGCAATAATAGCATATTTTCTTACGTGATGCTGTGGTTGTGTATTTTTATGATGAAGGTGTGCATAAAAGAGGATTTATTAATAGGGAAAATTGTGAGATTTAAAAAATTGTTTTAAAAGAGAGAAGGGGGGGGGGGGGGTCGATAAATCTAGTTCACTTTGCAGCACTCAAAGAACAGAGGAGGAGGGGGGGGGTCGATAAATCTAGTTCACTTTGTAGCACTCAAAGAACAGAGGGGAGGGGGGATGAAGTTAAATTCAGTTTTTAAATAAACGTCATTTATAAATGAGTCCTGATGAATTGACTTATTGTTATTTTGATTGACTTACTTCTTCAAGGAATTGAACCCACGTTGTCACAATAAAATACCCACAGAGTTCTAATCTGTGGCCTAGCTTCTCAAAATTAGATACCTTATTCCAGCATCATCAAATTCGCTTACATATGACTCAATACCTTACATTAATTACATTACAAAATCCTTAAATAAATTAATTGATCAAGAAAATAAACAAATTTAACTTAAAACTCCACAAATTTTGCAGTCAATTTTCCACACTACCTATAAACCAATCAGTCTGAACAATAAAATGTCTAATTAATGGGAAGCATGTTGAAATTTATTTCATCTCTTTACTGACAGACAGCATCATTAAGCTTCAAGGTTTGCTAATTTACGATTTTCAGCACAATAATTTACTCATGTCTCATTTGCAACTGTGCTTTCTATTTTTAACAATTTCGCTATTTATCATTGATATATTTTTGCAAGACATTTGGTAAACAGCTCCAAGCAGTGATTGTTATAAGAAAAAAAAATTTCAATGTTTCTAGAAGTTTCTCGTTCACGTTTTTTGAAACGCGTAAATTTCTTGTACTTTAGACCTCTTTATTTTCGACTTTTTCGTTTATTTTTCATATTTCGTGTGAAATTCACGTTCTTTGACAAGTCAGAGATTTAATAAAGGTCACAGGAGGTTTTTACTCCTCGAGTGTCAAAAACATAAATCTTAACAAGCTAGTAATGTTCGAGTGAATCTTTGTTTAGTGTAAAATAAGTAATTAGGAGGTAATTGTTCAAAAAAAAATCGTGGAAAATAAGCCATGCAAAATTTTTGTTGAAAAAAATATTGACTAAAGTAAACATGATGTTGTGGCGTTTTTAGGATTGTAGGGAGGTCTATGCACACGTCCTGTACTTGAATTATATATTGGCTGTCAAATTCATGTCCAAATTATTATGCTAAGCATATAGAACTATCGTTTTAGGTCATTTCTAGTCATTTATATTAAATTTCTTTCTCTAGTAGCCTAAGGACCTCACAGTCTCTATTAAGAATCCATATTTAATCCAAATAAAAATTTGTAGTGCTAAAGGCAACTTGCAGCTCCAAAAAACCTAGGCAAGTCAAGTCTTTAAATAAATTCAACAGAAATTTACTATCTCAATTGCATCTCCATGTCTAGCACAATATAGTCTCGTTGAGAATTTCTCCAACGCCTGCCTGACGATTATTTCTATTTTCGTCGATTTGAGTCAATTACACAAACCACTTGTAGGTTTACATTTTAAGTTTAATGCCTTTTCGTATAAAATGTAAAGATTTATGAATTTACTCTCGACTTTCCTTATTTCTTCGAATTCACAGACTTTAATTACAGCATATACCGGTACGCAATAATGTAAATAAATATTCTTAAAATAATATTCAGATTTACGCTAACCAGATTATTTTGTGGGTATTTTTAGGAATCACGTATCTTTTTTTGGAATTGAGTCATTCGAGTAGATAAAGCGTACACCCAATCTATAGGATTAACAAATTATCATGAAATAAATACAATACATGAGCAGCCAACGCAATGAAGCGAGCAAGACAAAAACAAGCGCATTTGTTTAGTCGAAATGTGCCAAAAATACTTAATAAAAGATCTAATTTTAAATATTTTTGTCTTTACTCAAATGTCTTTGACAGAAGGTTTTCAATATGACTTTTTTTTTGAAGACAAATAGAAAATATTAATTTTTCTTGCTATGCTTAAAAAATACAGATAGAAAAAAATGAGAAAATTGAACGAATTTTTGATTGAGTCTAATCGCAGATTTATTGCTTGAAATGACTTGAAAGATGTGAGATGAATTGGAGATTTGAGACTTTATTAATTTGAAATTTTAGATTTTTTTTAATCTTGAGGGGGGTTTAAGTTGTGACATCAACAGATGAAATGGAAGTTGGACAGTAGGGGTGGATTTTGGAAGTCAAAACCCGACTTTTCGAATTGATAGTTATTTAAGGAAAGTTTTTAATTTATTCTGAACCCCTTTCTATCTAAAGGCATAGCCCCAGGATCTTCAAAACTGAAGAAAATTGACTAAAGATTCTATAAGTGAAGTACCTTTAAGCTAGTCACAACTTCATAGCCCATGCTACGTAAGTTTATACTATTGACTAGCTTTTGCCATTAGCTTACAGCTATTAGATCATTTTCTAACATTATCTCAATTTTTGTCAAATTTATTGAAGTTATGCTGCCTTACTAATTCCTAAAAAATCATCATAAGGACACAGCCGTCAATTTAGTGATTGAAAAATAATAACTTTAGTCAGCATCAAAAAAGATTTTTTTTTTCACAATATTCTATCGTATTTTTCATCTAAAGCTGTTTAGCAACAATATACAATTTGAGAAGTTAAGTATGAACGAAATATTTAAAGAAAAATAATATAATGGCCTGATAATTTATGGCAACAGGTTGTGGTTGATGACTGTTTAAAGATTTTCTTTCTACTTTCGGGTTTTATTATCAATTTTTCTTTTCTTTATTTTGAAACTGAAGGCAAATGAAAATTATTATTTTTCGTAGGTTTTTCCCATCTCATTTTCTAAAAAAAATAAAGAAAGTTATTTTTGGGATAGCTCGGGACTGTTTGTGAGATGGGACAGAAGTGGGGAAGAGTTATTGAAATATAAACATGAAACAGTTGTTGGACACTCTCTTCTGAATTGTTTCATCATTTCTTGCTATTTTTATTGGCAACTCAAGGAACTGAGCTGTGAATAAATAGATTAATTTCCCATATAAATTTCTTTAATGCCATCCACTCGACCACATCCATATCATGTGACTTAAGACTTGAAAAATCTTCCGAACCCATATCGAAATCTTCAACATCCAATTTGATGCTTCTGATAAATTGATTTGGCTTCTTTCTTGACTTTTTTCTTGGATGGAGATGAAGAAGAAGATAAATTTGTGCGGCATGGTAAGTCATCAATCAAAATTAAATGTTCTTCATGCATTCTTCTTCAAGATAATTAAATTATGACCCTAAATTAGCTTCTCCTTTTCTTTCTTCCTTAACTTCTTATCTTCTTGTTATTTCTTTTAGATTCTGCTGTTATTTTTTTGGTAATCAATTAATTAAAGTCGAACTTAGTTTGTATTTCTCTTTAAATACTGCTTCACATAGTCTACACAAAACATAAAATTAAGTACAAATACTAATACTCACTCATCAAAATCAACAGTTCCTGAACCGTCTGCATTTCATCATAATTGAAAAATAAATAAAATAATTTTAAAATAAAATAAATAAAAAACTCCTTCATGCGCCATATTCAGAAGAGACTTTAAACTCTTCCTATGAATATACCACACACAAAACTTTTACATACCCTGATCAATTTCTTGAATAATTCCATCCAAATCAGCATCATTAAGTTGATCATCCAATTCGTGTAAGATTTCCTTTAAAATTGATGTTGGAATAAAACCGTTACCTTCTTTGTCGTACAACCTGAAAGCTTCCTTCAATTCTTTCTGGACTGTTGAGGACAATAAACTTCTTAGAAACTTATGTTTGCGCCAAAACAATAACAGTTAACTTACGTGCTTCCTCATCTTCTTCTACAATAAACTTAGCAGCCAAAATAATAAATTCTTCGAATTCTAAGCGTCCTGACTTATCCTCATCGACTTCTTCAATCATCTCATCGAGAATTTGTTTGTTGAATGGTTGACCCATCAATCGAAGGATCTCAGCAACTGTCTCTGTTGAGATTGAGCCAGTCTTTCCTGAATCGAAGCTCTCGAAGGCTTTTCTCAAGACTATGGGATAAAAAGAAGAAGATTAATTTTATTATTATTGACTAAATTGTGAATTGATGAAATAATTTTCGCACATCTTGGATTGTTCGCACATTTAATATTTAATAAGTTGAGACTGTCAATGTTGGTGGCAAAAACATCAGGAGCGTTAGTATAATGAGAATTTTGAATTGAAAGATTTACGAGCAATGAAGAAAAAGTTTTTCATCATTTATTTACCGCTTAAGAGTTTTTGGAGGGAATGGAAAAAAATAGTAAAATTTTTACTTTCAAACACATGTGCTGCTTCTCGTCTTTAAAGATTGAATTTTTGCAGAGTTGGTTGTGTTTTGGATGTAATTATTATTTGAAGACTATAGGTTTTTTGAAGAAAAATTCGTTCACTTATGACGTCCGAAATTACCGGTCAGTTTTCAAAAAAGTACGATGGAGTTCCAAGATTTTCTTTTGTTCTTTTCTTGCTGACCTCCCCCTCTCCATAAACGTCATAAGTGAACGTCCCCTAATAAATTTGACATCAATTAGGTTCAAGTTGTGGCATATGACTGCCAAATTTACCACAGAACTGTCTCATTAGAGTCAATACATATAAGAAGTGCTGACAAAATCTACATGTTGACAGATAAATCATAACCTCAAAAGTTTTTTCAAGATCACAAATCCCTCTCATTTTATCAACTCTGCAGCAAATGTCATTGCCCTGAAAGTCAAATGACACTTGTCCTAGCTTAAAACTTACAATAATTAATCAACATTTCGTTTCTTTCATCTAAAATGTTCTGTTTACTACAACATAAATATATAGATCATTGAACTTAAAATTCGAAACACTTATTTCTCACTAACGATCAATTGTCAATCGCCAATCGTAGCCAGAAAAAAAAACAATTCTCAATATTTTCATAATAATGTTCACAGTCATGTCATTCAGAAAAATAAAGCTGCGTACTAAAATCACATTTCACTTAACGAGCATTTGAAGTGAATGTAAGTCAGTCATCTTAATTAAAAAAACATTTTCAATTCGCAACCGCACAAATGATTTTCGTCATTTATGCCGTCCGAACTCTTAAAAAAATAATTATCAATTAACTCGAGTTGTCGTGTCTTTCGGAACTGAAAATTTTCCCATTCAGAAAAAAGTTCTCTTTTTTTTGCAAATGAAGAAGTAGATCATAAAAACGAAACTCATTTGTCATTTGAGACATCATTCATGAGTGACTATAGTTCATTTCAGTACCAGCATCAGCAATCTGTAACTTTCGTTTCTGATTTGACAGTTTCATCTAATGGTCGAATGATTGCATTGCTACCCCACCCAAATCGTTAATTATCGATCCGGGTGTGATGTAAAAATGAGATGAAGGTGTCAGCGTAAGGAGACCGCAGCTCATTGCCCCCCATCCGTGAAATCTAAGAAGATGATTTCTTTTCCCTCTTCATCAATCTTACTCATGATGAATTTGATGCTTCTTTTTCCTCCACACCCGTGAGACATTAAAGTTTAATGAACTTTTTTCTCGTAAATTTGCTGAAACTTTTCAATCATTTTCCGGTTATTTCATTTTCTCTGACTGAAATTTGATTTCATTAGCATGGGGCCAAATTTGTGCTCACTAGATACACGTGCTTCATGATATTGTGTGAATATTTAACATTTCCGCAAATGATTTTTTATTTTTCATCAGCATCACTCGTCCAGGAAGTTTATTAAAAAAATTGTTTGAAAACTCAAATCGACTGGAATTAATGAATGAAATTTTAATAAAATTGAGGTCATGTTTGTACGAATGAGATTAAAAGGCGAGCTATGTTGAGCAATTTGAAATCATTTGGAGGTGGAGTTGTGATGACGTGTGAAGAGATTTAAGATTTGTATTATGATCGTTAAAATATAATTATGTGGAGTTATGTTGCTATGCGGTTAAAGAACCAGGAAGACAAGTTTTTGTGTATTTGATGCCAGCATGAGATTGGAGAGCATGGTTAGTGATTTGAATGCTGAGAATAAACATTTGAAGTTTGTTGTTTTAGGGAAATCTTAATTTTGAATACATTAAGTGAGTCTTATTCTAGAAAAGTCAGTAGAAAGCAAGTTTTGTGTATCTTAGTCTACCAGGCTCGGAAACTAGGCGATATTTTAAAGGCTGTATTTAGCGGTATTTCATATAAAGAGGCGGTATTCGAGGTTATTTGGGGGTATTAAGCGGTATTTGTATGGAAGTTGGTGATAATTGGTGGTATACCGACTAGTTTCCGAGCCTGGGGTATGTCTAGAAACCGGCCTTCTGGATAAGAGAAGTGGGGAAGGGGGTGCAGTTCAAAAATGCAATTCTTTTCCAAAAAAATCAATTAAGTCAGTTCAAAAAGCATCGATTAACATCCAGAAGTATCAACTTACATTAAAAAGTACAGCACAACAAATACGAGTTCAAAATCCCTCATAATAACTTTATATATCCCCATTTATACACCAACTTTCCATAATATCTACATCCTCTGCAACTTTCAACTTTTCCAACTCCAATAATCTCCCATAACCCACCCTCATCTCTCCTGTCTCCTTTTTGCATATTACACGTTGTTTATTTAATGGAAAATTAATCGTGGCAGTGAACACATACACGTATATCCTCATAAGAATAAAACATGAAGCGGAAAATAAAAATTCCCAAGAGACGAAAGAAGAAGAACAAAAAAAAAATAAATATTTTATTCGTGCAAGCAATTTTTCATTTCACATGAAATCTCATTCAGGTGGTAATAAACATTTACTTCAATTAGCGAGAAGATTTTTTTTTATTCCACTTATTTTTCCTTTCACAGTTCATTTTGCTTGCTTAATTATTCCAAATTGTATTGTTGTTGTTAATGTAATATTGCGGATTTAATGTTTATAAAGAGCGAAATGAATGCTGAATGAATGAATAAAGATTAAATAAAATGTAAATTACCTGAAATGTGAGATGTGTGTTGTATGAATATAAATAATAACGAGAGTGAGGATGATTTTTTTCTCTCTAGTTTCATGTGGGATGGAGTGATAATTCTATTGAATTAGACTTTAATGTGAGGGGAATGCTCGATTAAATTGTGGAGGTGAAATTATGGAAATTCAGTGTAATTTGATTAATTTTCTGCTTTTATGTTTTAATAGGAAATAAATTGCAAAATATATGGATGTGGATGAATATTTATGGGGAGATTCTAGGAAATTTGATGCTGTATTCACTTTTGTAGTTGAAATTTATTGCATGCTTGAATATTGGTCGGATTTAATTACATAAATGGAATGATTTTGGGGTTTGATGCATTTTATAAGCCACTTATTGTTAATTAATTTAATGGATGGTGTTACTTTAATGAGCAATTATCTAAACCAGTGTTGTCTAAACTTTTTGAACCACGGCGCAAGTAGGGGTAAGCCATGACTGAAGTCGCACACAGCATCATTTTCAAAAAAATTCTCCGACACACTAGTGTGCCGCATCACACAGTTTGGACAACACTGATCTGAACAAATAGGTTTCTAGAAATTTCTAGATACAGCAATAGGCTGAAGCATCCATAGGCTTCAAAATTATTATCTAAGCTATCAATTTCCTACTAAACATCAAAATGATCTTCCTAGAAAATCAACAAATTTCCAAGTAACATAAAAATAATCACTACTATCATCATATTCCATTAAATCTCATCCACAAAAATCCAAACTTAAGTCATCAAAACAAACATTAAATATCTTTATGATATCTCCACACATTAGTCGCTTCTCAAATTGTCGTCTTAATGTGTATAAATCCACATCCCATGTGCATCTATCTTAAGTAAGTTATTGACAAGTTTTTAAGGAAAATCTCTTCAAACTTTCGCTCGAATGGAAACTAATTCTGTATATGAAAATGATTGATGTGATATTAGGTCACCGTTAGATTAAACGTCTTTAATTAACAGCCACATCTACCATGAAATTATGTGGACACATCGATAGACATGCAATATGAACTTTAACTTTGACGACAATCTCTCGACTGCTTCACAGTATTTAGAATATGTATAGTTGTAGCTACATCTTTATATAGTATTATGTAAGATCAAGATTGAGATAGAGACGAAGAAATGAAATAATATTCAGTTGTTTCGGATGCTGTCACTTTTCAACATCTTAGATGCGCTTTCGAGCGTGAACGAGATGAAAAACAGTTGAAACGAAATAAAATTCTTATAAATGGAGCAAATTATATCTTGACACGTTTTTCCTTTTCACGAAAAATTTTGTTTTACTGTAGCGCGGTTTTATAGGTTTGTTGTGTGAGGGATATGATGAGACTTGAGGGTTTTGGGTTGGTTTGGATTTAAGTCGAGTTCTTAAATCTAAATTTTATAATCTGTTTAAGCAAGTTTCTGTTCGTAATGCAATACGGGGCCAGCTTCTATGGCTACTTGGACATCGATTTTAGGTTTGGATACCTTAATAAAAAAAGCTTTAAAGGGTTTCTAGTTCTTTATTTGACTGATTTTCGACAATTTTTTTAATTTTTCCATGGCTTTTAGTTCCAATTTTTATCTTGATCGTTTAAATTAAGCTGTTAAAAGATCTAAATTCAGTAAAATGCTCAAAATTAAGAACGATGGGCAAAGGACTAGCCAGAAACTACACTAGAGAGGGATCAAACCACTCAAAAGAAGTTTAGATAACCTCTTTGTTCAATTAATGATGCTAGGATTCGAACTGAAGACTTTCGAGCTGTCAAACAAAACTAGAGCCAAGCGACTAGTTGATTGCCCTACAGAGCTACTTAATTGCTTGAATAGAATCCTTACTTTCCTCTCTATATATCTCTATATACCTCAAATCACATGACAATATTTTTGTAGATCCTGAAACAAATATATTATTAGCAAATGCGCTATCTATTCACTCATATCCCAAAACATCTCTCAAAAAACATTCCAATTCCTTTCATTTGTTTTCCATGTTTTTTTTTTCTTTCCTTTATTTTTAGTCACTTTTCTTTCATGGATTAATTTCACTTCATTTTTATTTTAAGAAACAAACAAAATTGATGACTCATGTGTGAGAGTCTCTGATAAATGGCTCGACAGATTTTTCTTTATTTTGCTGATACTTTTTTTGTTCCTTTTCTTGTTCACAAGATAGCAAGCAATTTTTTTTGGCAAGCATAAAAACTTATTGAAGATGCCAATTAATAAATTGATGCTGGAAAAGTTTATTTCCATATCAATTGATCTTTGTAAGGCACAAAACGGGAGGAAGCATCGAGAAGAACTAAAGGAACAAAGTTTTTCATCAATTTAACATTTAATCTCATCTCATTAAGTCTTATGACTGTTTGATCAACAAGCAACTGTCGGAGGACATAAAGTGGAGAGAATGTCTGGGAACGATGGCATAAGCAGCAAGTAATTGAAGAGAAACTTCAAAAAAAGTTAGGAACGGAAAGTTTTGAATGCTCATTTTTCTTGTTTGATAGGTGATGTTCCTTGTAAGGGAATTGAAATTAATTTCTGGTTTTAAGGGGTGACGAGGTTTTTCAGTTGGAACTTGAGGGAGAGAATAGTGCAATAGGATCTTCGATAGCGACCGACTTTTAGGGCTTTATTACGTATGCTACCGTAGATTCAACAATTAATGTATTCCTTTCTAAGATATAAATGAAGTTTCACTATGGCTAGGGTCAGGTACGCTAAGGAGCTTTAGAAACAAACCCAAATTCAATGCTTCTAGTTGAATAGTCACAAAAACTTGCACAAATAGGTCTTGCCTAATTTCCTGACAACGTTCTAGAATTTTCACCGAAAATCCTCACAAGGGACCTCCCCAAAACATGATGTCTAAAAGAACAACACAAGCAAAAAACTTTTTTCTTTTTTTTTCAACAAAATTTAAACGTAGAACAAGATGAAAAGGCAACGGGACACAAAAAAGAAAGAAAAAGACTCTCAAATTAACCCAATTTATTTTCACATGTCACTTCACGACAAACACTTGCAGTCAGTTTACATGACAGACATTTCATCATCAATATGGGTGAGCTAAATTGTTTATTGCCGAGGAGAGAACATTTTTTAATGACTTTCCATTAAAAAATAAACGTTTGAGATTTATGAAATTTTTTTTTTATCAAATCATTAAAAAACTTTTTTTTTGTGGATGGGATGGAAAATTTTATGGCTGATGAAATTATTTAATTTGCTCATGTATGCAGGAAGTAATTTCAATAGATAATTTTTCAAATATGTTTTTCATCATCAAGTAATTGTAGTCATTTGTATTTCGCACATATTGGACATAACATGATTTTTTTTTAAGCGCGGATCATGAGTGAATGTGGTGATGGGGTTTGATATGTTAAAAATACTTTTAACTGGTAGTTAAGGTCTTTGAAAAAATTATTGAATTAAAAATGAAGATTCAGCGTTTTTCAGTTTATGATATTTATTTAAAAATGAGATCTTCGATTTACGTCCTAAATGTTATGTGCGTTTGACAACTTAGCTATCAATGCTTTAATTCAGGAAGTGTAAAAAAGGAACAATAATTTCCCCAATTGGATGCATTACAATCCTTTTTGATTGTCAAGATGCACTTTGCCAACCTAGAATATATGACAGTATTAGCCATATTACTTCAATGGCCATACAACTCAATTGTGATCCAAAACCTTTCTATGAAGTTGGCTCTATCCCTAGCTAGCCTCTAGTCCAGTGTTGTCCAAACGGTGTACCGTGACACACTGGTGTACCGTAGGACATCCTTAAGTGTGTCGTGAAAAAATATCTAAAGTCCAAGTATGCCGTGGCTGAAAAAAGTTTGGACAACACTGGTCAAGCCAAAATCAAAGATTAAAGCTCAAATATGCCCTCAGAGCTACGACCCTCAGGGGTCGTTTTAGAAACTTATAAAGCATTTTGTAGCTTGATTTGTAGCTGATTAATTTTAAGAAGTTTAAAATCACCTATAAGAGCCAGTTACCCATCACTAGCTAACCTAGTGACCCCATTTTTTTGGCATCTAGAAGTTCATATAAAGTAGCTATAGAAGCTATCTGAGTCCATTAAATTCGGGCTTCAAAATTTCAATTAAACCTCAAAAAAAACCACTTTGAACCCCCAAAAATATGCTCCCTAATCCCTTCAAAACTCTTCTCAATCATTTATCAATTTCAATATATTTTATGCCACGAAAAAAAGTCCTGATATTTATTTTGATATTTTTTTGCCAGTCAAACACGAGCAGTATAAAATTGACGTTGAAAATATCATCGATAGAAAATATCGACTGTGCATGATTGCAGTAAAAAATATCAATTTTCGCATCATAAAATGTTCATGAAAGAAAAACATTAATGCAAAGCGCATTCAAATTGCTAAATAACGACGGTTTTCTGCTCTGTTTATTTAATAGAGCTTTTTTTATGATTTCAACAAAAAAAAAAGATATCTATAAAAATATAAAAAATAATAACAACAACAGCCACAACAGTCATACATCGAACAATGTTGAAAGCAGAATGAGAGGATGGAAAAATATCATAAAAAATTTATTTTTATATACGTGATGGCATTATCCTCTCCACTCATATTGCATTAAATTTGATTTTGATCTTATGTAGTTTGTTTCTGTCATCTTTTCTCGTTCATTTCTTCATCCTTTTTTTTTGCTCTCTCATAAGAAGTTTCTTTTTTGTAGAAAATAAATAAGATAACATGAGTTTTTGTGTATGAGGGGATGGCGAGTGCTGTGAACCGAATATTTGATTACGATTCTCTTTTTTTTTTGTGAGGATGAAAATTCTGGAAAATTTTAAAGTAAATTGAATTTGTCGAAGAATTTTTTCCGATGGTTGGGCTTGTAGTTTGATGTTTTTATTGGATCAATAATATTCAATTCCTTTTTTTTGAGCATTAATTTATGATGAGAATTCGGAAAGGAAATTTAAAATTTAATTATGGAATTCCTTTGAAAATTTGAAAGGGGATAATGTTTGGGGTTTTGATGAATTTTACTTTTTGTGTGGTTTTTGGATTATTATGTTGAATCTTTTTTGGATACTGACTTATTATGACTTAGAATTTTTAAGTTATTGATTATTAAAATTATTAAAATTTTTAAAATTTTAATAACTATTCTATTCTATTAAGAAGCGACAAAGCCATACGTTTGACTTTTGTGCAGGATGGTGTGAGAAATCTTAATTACTTATTAGCTACGCCAATGAATTAAATTAAATTGCCTGTATTTTTGGTCATCCGTTAGCACAGACCTAATCTTCTAGGCTTTATAGCCTCTATGGCTTCACTTGAAATTTAAATTTCTGTAAATTTCCACGATCGTTACTCGAACCCGTGTCACATGAATTAAGCTTTATAGAACTATTCAGAAATCAGCTTTGGTCAAGAATCGAACTCACGACCTCATGAGACAGAACTACATTTAAGATTTCTTCAAAATTATACCTGACAAATTAGATAAAGATGCATTGTTCCTGCTATAGTTTTTGTAATCAAAGCTTTTTAAACTAGCTTTAAAATTGTCTAAATGAACTTAACAAAGCTTAAATCTTAATTTTAAATACACTTTTAGATTTTTTTTTGATATTGTGGTAGTTTAGGTTCGATTCTCAAAAGTCACCTCCTCTGACTATTACCAACATTCAATATATCAAAACTTACAATACTTTTGCTTCTCTGGATGACATTAAACCTTGAAAATAATTGAATGACACTCAAAGAAGACCATATGGAAGCTATAAAGTACGAGTGAAATTAATGTCAAATGAAAGTGTTTCAAATTTAAGGCGATCAGACAGCTTGTAGCTTGCGTTGACGGCCATTTACTAGCTAGACTTCTTTTGATCTTGGCTTTTGTCATATTTAAATTATTGCTTATTTTCTGAACGTCTAGACTCTAGACTTTTAGTACTCGGGAGGATTCTCAGGGTAAGGCTGAGGGGCCTAAGGCACTTTTATTCAATTTCAAAAATTTCAGACTCAAAAATTATAAAATATTTAAATCAAAAATTTCTTAAGCATTTCTGCATCCCCCTGCAGCTATTATCCTCGACTTAATATTTATTTTATCATCAGATTTCCTTTTACTCTACATATCTATTTTGTATTTCACATGAGCTTCTTACTATCTATCAAAATGTGCTTATGGAAAAGAGAGTAATAATATTTTATCGACTTTCGCTTTTCCACAATCCAATTTGTGCAATAAATTTATCGAAAAAATATAAGATTTAAAATATAATACTTACTGGCAATTTGCTCTGGTGGAAGTTCATCCTAATTGATTTTTAAAATATATTTTTTTTAAATTTTTCGAAGACAGAAAAAAAATAGAAATAAAATAAAATTAATTTTCACACTTTTTCATTTTTTGAAAAGAAATTTTTCATTTTTCACTATTTTAAGTTTTCTTTTTTATTCAATGGACATTTAAGTTGAGTCTTTTGTTTTCAATTTACGATAATGAGATGAGTCGTGACGAGGTGTTGACTGATATTGGCATGGAATGTGTGTCTCTGTATCCACGTGTCAAAAACATGAGGTAAAACTCAAATTAAAAAGTAAATGTAAAAATAAACATTTTGAGCTATAAACGGTCAAGTAACTTGCTTTGTAGACGTTGACATGAAGCGTAGAAATTTCCTGAATGAAAATCGATGATTTGTGATTTTGTTTGGTTGTTTTTTAAAAACAAACATGATGTTTTGCTTGAGGAAAACAAGTGCCAAAAAGGGATGAGTAAGATCATTTTTGAGGTGGAGACAATTTTAATTTAGTGCGTAGATTTATGGCTTGTTAAGAAGAAATATGAAAATATGTCAGATTTTTTTGCGGAAATATTAAACGAAAATTAAGATTTTGTGATGTTTAAGGCTTTCTTTAGAATTTGTGGATTTTAAAAATGATTTTCATTTTATTAGGATTTTTTCAAATATTATTTCTTTTAGAAGTATATTTTTAAAGAGGAAGTAAGTAATGTAGTAGAAATGGGAGCTAAGGACATTTGTCTCGACAAATTTTGATTTTGTTGCGAGATACAAAACCCTTTGCTATGAAGCAGAAAGGACTAAATGCTGTTAAGACATTTCACACAGTTTTTAATTCAAAGATCTGAACTAGGGCGTATCCAGAAAGTGTTGAGTAACAAAAAAAAAAACCCTCAATTTAAATTGCTTAAAGACGAGAAGTTTCAAAACTTAACTCAATTTATATTTAAATTTTCATGAAAATATTCCACTATAGAATTTATAGATTTTTTATTAATGAACAAATTTATGATCGTCACATAATTTTAATCCAAGAAAATGTGAATGAAAATTATTTCTTACTCAATCAGCCCATAGCTTTTAATAACTTTAAAATGTTCAGTAAATTTCTTAAACCATGCATTCTGACTTTTATTTGCTCGTTAATTTTCGTGTCTTAATTTTTACGCAATTCTCATTTTTGTGACACTTAAAAAAGTTATTGCTTACGTCTTCTTTTTGTTGAAATTTATTTTAACATTTTTTCGAATTTTTCAATTTTTTCAATTTTCTTCAATTTTCTCCAATTTTTTCAATTTTCTTCAATTTTTTTCAATTTCTTAATTTTTCAATTATTTTAATTTTGTCAGTTTTTTAAAATTTTTTTCAATTCTTCAATTTTTTCATTTCTTTTAAATTTTTATTTCTTTTTATAATTTTAAATTTTTTAAAAATTCATTAAAATTACAATTTTTTTAAAAAACTATAAAAAACTTACATTTTTAAAAGTCAAAAAGAAATTCAAAAGTTTCAAAATTGTAAAATAAATTGAAAATTAATGAGTTCTAAATAAATTCAAGCAGACATTCAAAAATGAGTTCCGTTTATTTTAAATTAAAACATAAACATAAAAGAAAAGAAAAGAAAACGTCGAGAAAAATCGCTCAAAAATTTCCCGCAATAGATTCTAACAGTTTATTTTGAAAATTTCTAATTAAAACGTTTTAGAGTCCATAAATTTTGATCAGCTTTGAAAATTTATTTCAGGTCAATGATCAAAATCAAACCTTTAATTTTTACGATAACGACTTGTCCTAGATACTGAAATTTATAGCTAGTTGTAATGAATTTTAAGTTTTCGTGTGATTATTGAGCTTGAACTGGGTGTAAACGTGTTTAAGATTTGAGGAAAACTCATAGAAAAATTAAAAAATTCTGAAAAATTTTCCGCGACACTCAACTCCCTTCAAACTCCTCAATAATCCCATCATAGAAGGTTTTTAAAGCTCAATTTATCATCAAATTTTCTGTGGCTTCATCACAAAATTCAACAGAATTATTTTTCCTTCTTCTTTTCCTTTATGCCTCTCAACAATTGCTCCAATTCCTTTCAATCTAAATCTAAATCTTTTTTCTCCTCAAACAATCTCAAATCGCTTGTGAAACAATAAAGAAATTGTTTATAATCCCCTTCAATTCAATTCTTACAAATCAATAAATAAATCTCTTTCTTTCCTTGTTCATTCTTGCTGTGTTTGCCATTGCTGTGTTGCCGTAATAAATAATTCTTGACGAAAAGATAAACAGCAGAAGGAGCAGGATTTGATTTGAGTTTGAGCTTAGAAAGGAAAAATAAAACTTTTTTTTTGTGTGTGTGTTCTGTTCTTTCTTTGCTAAATTCTTTTCTTTTCTTGAGTGTTGTTTGAGACTTTTGACCCGAGTGGTAGACGACTATGAACATGGATTTGCAGTAAGCTTGAGCATACATATGGAGACATACTCAGAAAAGTCGATTAAGGGCTATGGAAGGGTATTCTGGATTAATTAAAATAAATGAAATAATTCATAAAGAATGAATTCGAAGCAGAGATGCCAGGGAGGAACTTCCTTGAAATTTTTACCTTTTTTCAAATAACAAGGACTTAAATTCCTCAAACTTATAATATTGGAATTTTTAGGTTTTTTAAAATTGATTTCAAATATAACCCTACTCATCTTTGGCTAGGCCACTGATTTTTCCTATTTATTTTGAGACTTCTAGAAATTTTCTGCATCGAATTTAATGAAACTTCAGAATTTTCTAATAAAACCCCCCAAACTCTACAGAATCCATCCGAGTCACTTCTTCCAAAAGCTCCCTTCAAACTTTCTCCGAAAAGATCAATTTCCAATTTTCTTTAACCACTCGGGATCCACACAATCTTCTTGTGTGTATTTGATTATCCAAGGAATTTTCCCATGGCTCATTGCTTTCACATCAATCTCTCTTAGCTTCACTTAACTAGGTACACACATATATGACAGAGTACGAGTTTTTATCCATCCCATCCTTAAACTCCACATGGACAAGAAACGATTTTTTTTATCACACAAATTCCAGCCAATTAAATCGAATAATTAGCCTTTTTTACGGCTATGCCATTAATTTTCACTTCCAATCTCATTATCGAAACTTTGTTCAGTTCTTTCACTACACGATTACATTAATTATTTAATTTTACTTCTTGAAAGTTTAAATTCAGATTATTTTTTTAAATATCCAGAAAAGATGTTTGAATTAATTGAAGGAACTAACCATTTTCGCTTTTATTTAAATTAAATGAAGATCACACAAAGGAAATAATTTAACAAAAATTAAAATTTTTGACTAAAAACCGCTCCGATCAGACGTTGAGATGTGCGAGACTTGAATGGAACACACAAGACTGCTGGGCAGAAAACTGAGCGCTTACTGAAAAGTCTGCATGAGGAAATTTTCATTTTTTCTTCTTCTTGTTACTATTTTTCTTTCTTTTTTTTGTGTGATGATCATGATGCTGTATGGAAAGATTCATTCGATTGTATTACGTCGACGACTGAATATTGTTGTATTTCTAGCTGATTTCGATGCCGTTTCATACACAACATTTCCATTTCGTATATTTTTTTACAAAAAATTTTTACTTCATCCTCACGGCTTGCCTGCCTGTTTGTTGTGTGTATGAATGACGATTTTCTTTTCTTTTCCACTATATTATAATCTGTTTCAGTATTATAATATAGGAGAAATCTGTTTCAAGTGGTTAAAGATATTTTCAGACACGTTCTACATTTACGCTTAAATTTCATAGCTTTTTTTTTGTTTCTTTTATTATTTTTTTTTTTGTTTTGCCTCGCTTTATTTCCATCATAATTATTGTTGACTTTAAATGAACTTAATGAGATTTTCTAGGAAGTTTTTTTTTTCGTTGTGTCGCTCTATTTATTTACGGGACTTTTTGTGACATGAAGGGTCACCAACTGAACAGTTTTGTTTGAGAATGGCATGCTTTTAAAACCTACAGCGCAAAATATTCAATTTTATATTCTGCGGAATAATCTAAGGTATGTCAATATTAACATCGAGTGTGGCAGTGAAGAGCGAGCTTATCTAAAGTATAAAGAAGTCGGTCACTAATGGCATCTTTTTAAAAACTACCAATTTCAGGACCAAAGTGTCACAAAACTGTCGAAATCTCCTCTTAAAGAACTTTCATTGATTGCGGGTTCACTTAGACTTAATAATAAATTTCAGCATAACTTAGTGACAGAACTGACTCTACACTTGTTATTGTTTTGTGTCTACTGAATAATTTCTTTTATTACTAAAGTTTCTAGCTTCGAATTTATTAAGACCTTCGAGAAATTTTGTGTTTTTATTATTTTACAACAAGCTATCTTCCCCCTAGTCTATCCCAAACCTGTAATCAAAATTTCCTTATCTAATATTTTATTTTAAATACCTCCAGATAACCCAATACCACACTCATGAATTTTTAATTGATTTATAAACTCACAAAGCTTCTGGATTACTGAGAAACGATAATCACTGATAAATATGGACAGCATTGAATTATTAATGCGCGTTCAACCTTCTTATACACTTATGAGTATTTAATAATGACTTATATTCATTTATTTATTGACATTTTTTATTTCTTTAACTGCCTTTAATTTTGTGATATGAACAATAAAAATTTTATATTTTTTTACAGTCGCACTTGACAAAATTCTGAAAAATATTTATTTATAATTGTGTTGAATAATTATTTGCACAAAGCAATGACTTGTTTGAGGTAAAACAAAGAGAATTACAAATTATGAGAAATAAAACGAAATTGCAAATTGGTTTAAGGAATAAATTTGATGGACTTCCAGAATCTAGGATCAAATTGGTTCTCACAATAATGAAGGGTCAGGGGAAGTTTGATACTTTTCTGGATAAAAGACAAAATTTAGGATTGAAGAAATTTTCCCGATGCGATTAGTACTTCTAGGGTGACCAGTTATTTTTTGACAAATAAAGGACCTGAAAGTAAAATAGAGGGCATCCCAAGTACTAAACAGTTTTATTCGTTCTCTGGACAAATTAGAACAAAAAATATTTTATTTTTGAAAAATTAAAGAAAATAGAGAATTGTCCTTAAAAACTTCGCAGATGGCCATCTGCCTAAGTACCCCTCAACATCTTAGATACGCTAATTCAAAAAATCTGCCTCATTAGCAAATAAAATTTTAATTAAGATTTTCAAAAAGATTCCAATATAAAAGCCACGACTGCATTTCAGTTCCACACACAAAAAATATAAAAAGAAGCCATTCAAAATGCAATAACATCTTTAAATCCGAACGTGTGGAAAATCAGAGTGAATAAAAATCTGTTAAATAGTTTTCATGATTAGATTGACAAAAAATGTTCACGTTCCATTCATAAAATGCAAGTATCTTTGATATAAGTTTACATTTCATTTCATGATTCCAGTATGACGCATTTTATGTCTATTCATGTTGTGCAAAGGAAGTATTTGATGAGGTTAAAAAGTTTCAGGAAATCAAGAAGATTTGGTTCTGGCTGCGATTGATCGATATGAGCTGATGATGGATTTGAAATTATGGTAGTCGATTAATATGAAATCATTTGCTATTGTGGGTCCTGTTTACCTTTTGTTGCTTTCTTTGTACAAGTTGATTTCGGAAATGGTAGGTTGTAAACCTCACCATCTCTAGCCTGAATGTGGGGCTGCCACCCTACAGGCGAAGTTGTTTTGACAGGCTTTTAATCTATCCTTTAAAGTACTTATTCCAGCACAGAGCTGGGTCGTCAGCGGTACATTTAGCGGTATTAAGGGATACCACGAGAAGGTATGCACTTGACATTTGGTCAGCTTCGGAGTCAGACTTCGGCTTTCCCAATCCCCCACAATGCTATTGTGGGTATCAAGTTATAACTTATTTAGTTTTTAATCATTGTCCAAGGGCTTAGTCAAGAGTTTTGACCCTTTTTGGAAAAAAAAAATAATTTCATCTCCTCTCTCGTTTTTGGCTACGTCCCTTGTCATTGTCGACCAGGAAATCATGTTCAATCTCAGTTTTGATGTGTATGATCCCAGAGGCATAGCCTGTCATTTGTCGAATAGAAGTTTTGAGGAAGACGGTGACGGGATTGTGTGACTCAAATGACTACGATCCTAATTGATCCTCAAATGACATTTTCCGTCCAATTAAATGTCACAAAATTTGATAAGACTTATAAAAAAATCCCCAGAATTACTCACTTATTTTTTAAGTACACTTCAAGATAACAAAAGATCTTATAATTTCAATTACAATCGTAGAATTTTGACACAACAACTTAATCTACTCCAAATAATTTCACCATAGTGCCTAGACAAAGCGACTAGTTTAAAAAATCAACAAAAACTTAAGATAACAAAACTAACGAGGCAAAACGATGAAGAAATCAGTAGCATCAAAAATAAACGCATATAATATGTGAAGGAACAACATGTAGTTGATTCATCTCACAAGACGCTACCTAAAATAACACAAAATGAAAAGAAAGTTCAAAAATATACACAAGTAGAGTAAATAAAGGAAGGAAATTTCAAAAAAATTGTGGAAATGCGATTTTTTTTTTAAAAATAAAACTTTACATTTCAACTTTTCTCAACTATGAAAATCCAGTAGAAAAAAAATTGTGTGTATGAAAATGTAGCACAAACACCGCATTTGATGTAACTTAGGCGTATAAATTTTTCAGCAGCATGCATCAAGTGTACGAGGAGAGAAATGTGAAGAAAAACAGATGTAAAATGTAAATTCTGTGCCATGTTTGTGTCTCATACACATTTTACTTTAAAATAATCGCTTGTGACATTGCTTAATTACGATCATCCTAGTTGGAAATAAAAATATTAATAATATTTACATGAAAAATATGAAAAAGCTGTTTATTGTGCGTGGCATCAAAATAAATGCTAAATTTTAGACGTAAATGATTGAGGAGAAATTTTTCTAGCTTTTCATCAAAAAATGGTGAGAAATGTGCTATTTTTGATCACAAGATGAACAATGGAATTAAATCTGTTTGCTGAGTGAGATGAAATTTTTTGTTAAGCCATGAAACATTGAGTTTTGTGTAGTCAGAGATGGTCAACATTAAGGGGATATTTTATTTGGTGCTGTCATTGTGAATTTCCTTGCTCTGTCAAATTGACAACAGTTTGAGCTATTAAATGAAACAACTTTAAAGTTCAACAAGTTTTTTGCTTGTTAGATGCAAATATCATGGATATAATAGAAATCATGCCACTGCGATTATGAGACAAATAGATGAGACACTAAGGTTATAAGCTCTAGAAAAGAAAGTTGAAAAAGAGTGGTTCACATATAATGGCAAATTGACATTTCCAATCGCAAAGCCCAATAGCTAAGCGGTCTGAGCACTTGACCGGCAATCGAGAGGTGCGAGGTTCGATTCCCGCTTGGGATGAACCATTGGATGAATTTTTTTTCAACATTTTTGACAACGGTCTGTAAAATGTCATCACAAAATTCATAATTCCAGAATTCCAGTAATTACTTGGTCACAGAAGCCCTAATCTCATGATGTCATGTTTGCCAACGTATGGCTTGATACTCAAAATTCAACCCTACGTTTAGAGGACTTTCAATGAACTGATATTCAAAATATCCACTGACTATTGATCCTCAAGGTTGATTTCTAAAGAATTTGACTGGAACACCTAAAGGGCATGACTAGGGTATGTTTAGAGCAGGCCCAGTCTTTTGAGCTGGGAACTGCGATTCAAATTTACTAGACATGGTATGCCCATTTTACCGACTTCATGTGCTGTATGAAATATTACCGTCATTCATATAATTTCTATATAAATGAGCCACATCAAATCACCAACCCTGACCATTTAATTCAGAACCTAAAAAAATTTCTTCATCAACATTTTTTTTTCAGCATTTCGTGAACAAATTTTTTTCCCTCTTTTATTTTAAACAATCTTTTTTGAATGAAGCAATAAACAATTAAAAATGTATTAATAGACGAGAAGGGAAAAAAAAATTTTTTTACAGTTTTTTATTACTGTGAAATTTTTACGCTCGATTTCGATGTTTGAAGTCTGACAACTGTGGTATTTGAGATATTTTCTTTTCACTGATATGATTTTTTCTTATAAATTTAGATCAACTGTCTATTATTCGTAATGGATTACGTCGGGAATGTCTATGAATTGTGAATTTGCAGCCGCTTCCTATTTTATAATCCTTAATTAATTTTTAAATATTTAATTATAGCTGATGTTATGTCGGGCGTTAATAAATTGATTTACAGCCGGAATTTACCACTGATAATCCATCGACAATTTATTGACGATAAAGTATCTGTTAATCTTATCAGTTTAAAATTATTAATAATTCCTTTATTAGTTTAACGAAGTCAGTATTCTTCTGATTATTGTTTGCTTTTTGTCTGATAGGATGGAAGTGATTCATGTAATTTTTATAGCTCTAGTAATATTGGAAAGAACCACTTTAGTAGTGTAAATTAAGCTACACAGTTACTTATGAATCATCACAAATAGTTCAAGTATCGGGAAATGCTTTTCGAAATTTAAGAAATTTATGTTGACGGATTAGATCTTAATTTGGTTCAAGCAAGTATTTTGTCAAGCTTCTTAGCATGCTTTCACTTGTTCTTTTCAACTCATATGCACTGGCTTACAGCCTTCCTTTGTAGGCTCCAGGCAGAAATGTCATTAAACGAGTGGTTCGGATCCCACTATAAATTGTAGATCTAAGTTTGAGTGCAGTGGATTGGCGCATCCTCACTCGTTAAACTCTCATTAGCTTTTAATCTTCCTAGCGCACCTCTGAATCACAATTGATCTGAAAAGGCAGAGGTTTTTACCACATTGTGATAAGAGTATTTGTCGTATGGACATAAGTTCGCTATCTGCTTAATCAAATCGTGCGAAGATATTCTTTCAGCTATATAAGCATGTCAATACTTAGTTTCTTTTGCGACTTACTTTCAACAGTAGTAAAATTCTTAATAAACCTTAAAATTCCAATTATTTCCTCGCTAAACTTTAATAATTTTCGCACAAACTTTGACAATTGCAAGCAATTTTGTTTATGATCTTTACATTATATTATTCCACAAAATAATAACTCATGTAAAGACAAAATTCGAACAAATATTTGTGAATCGAAAATGATAAGCGAGAGCATACACAAATAATGATAATAAAAAATTTCACCACAATGATTCATTCGGGAAATCTTATCATTTTGATGATTATTTTTATATATTTTAATTACAAGTCAGCCAATAGATGGGTAGAGACGGTCAAAATTTTAAAGAATTGTTTAAAAAAAAATATCCTAATCTGAAAATTGAGTTCCGCCCCTCCTCCTCTTCATAAAAATGATGTGAAAATCAAATTCAATTTAGAAATTATTAAATATGGGTTTTAAATAAAATATTTCATGATCATAGCCTAAGTACCCCTCAAAAGAGTTCTCTTGAAATCTTCACATTACTCTCTAATCAACTGTGATGTTCCCATCGCTTGAAGAAGATAACATTACACGATATTCTCGCTTATCAAACAAATACGAACAATTATTTCATTGAAGGTTTATTTCGTGCGTTATACAAACTTTTTCATTTAGAAAGGTATCGTACATTAAGGTGTGAACACTACGGAATAAAATTATAAAAAATATTTTAAAATTATTCGAAAATGCAGTTTAAAAATTTAAAAAATATTTTTGTCACAATTCTCATACAAATTTCAATTCAATGTGGTAAAAATTTTATTCATGTTTTATTAAATTTTAACATTTTTGGTGAATAAAGTGAAGCTTAAAATAAATATACTTATTTTGCAGTAAGTTCACAATTGCCATTCGAAGTTACACTGCCACCAGGAGTTTCACTTCCTCCGGGATTCACACTTCCGCCTTGGTTCACTATTCCACCCAATATCGAACTTCCAAATGGTGAACTGCCTGATAACTATATGCTTGTACATCAGGTTAGTATTAAAACTTTAAATTCATATTTTGTTTAGATACGTTCAAAAATGAGAGATTGGTGCTTTCAGGAAAGAGGAGGGGGGGGGGTGCCTCAAATCAAATAATCTAATACAATGTGGCAAAATACCCCCGCTATATCCATGTTAACTCTTAAATTTTGGTCATTCTTGATCAGTATCTTCGATTTGAGTGACAGAAATTGATTTTTTAATTTTTTCTTCTCCTTATCAAATCTTCAGGCATTAATAACACGAAGAGGAGATACTGTAAGTATGACTTTTTATCAAAATTTTAAAGCTCTTCTTCAACTTTAATAATCACGTTTCAGAATCTCAATCAGCACCTGTGTGGTGGTGCCTTAGTTCTTAATTTCACAGTGTTAACCTCAGCTAATTGTCTCCTTAAAGATAACGATGAATTTTATGATGCCAGTGAATTAAGTGTAGCACTAGGAACATTTTCAATAGAAAATGTTTTGGCTAGTCAACCGTCGTATTTTGATGTTAGTAAAGTAATTATTCATGGAAGGTTTAACAGAAGGACGCTGGCTAATAATGTAGCTGTGATAAAGGTAAGTTAGACTCATTTGGTCGTTTAATTTATAAGTGAAAAACAATAAGAATGAGTAGCTTCTGGCGGGAGGAGCGGGCGGGTTTGTAGTCAAAAGCTTCCCTCTTTGGATTCTTTTATTTTGCTTAGGTATTTTGAAAAAATCCCCCTATTTTGCTGTGTATATAAAAAATTATAGCTCTCCTCCCTTTTGTGGATTTCTGATTAAAGCTCGAAATCCACTTATAATTTTAATAATTGTTGTTATCATAATCTATTTAATTATTATCTTTCTGATATGGCTTTAATTTCATTTTATCTCAATAACAGCTTAATGGCAAACCAGGAGCCAGTGAAAGAATTCTTCCAACGATGCCTTCAAGAGAAAAGGTTTCTCCGTCTATGCAGTGCTTTTTGTTGGGATACAGTAATGTAAGTGGTTTATATATCCTTTAACCTACTTTTCCCACCTTAGATATCTCTTTCTTCAATGGTTCCACATGAACTAGGTTTTGAACCCTGAACCGTTGAATTAATATTTCAATGCTCTACCAACTGAGCTATCCGGAAATGAATGTTCTATTTAACAATCATTAAGTTTAATATTAAATTTAAATTTCCTTAGGATGAACCGACAATAAAGCTCATTAAACCAAAATACAACATAAAATGTAGCTCACACAAACAACAACCTTGGCCTGCTGAAACATTTTGTTCTGGAGATTATGATGACTTTTATGACACCTGTGAAGGAAATCAAGGTTCAGCATTAATTTGTGATGGAATGGTCCAAGGAATTGTAACAAGATCTTGCTCTAGTGATGTAATCATGCAGTATTCAGATGCTTCACAATTTTTCTTTTGGATTGCAACCAAGCAATTGGATAAGAATCCATACAGATTAATGGATAATGAGATAGTGAGATATTTTCTTTTTGGATCGCTGGATTTTATTGCGTGGCTATCGGGATCAACACAAGTTGCTGACTATTTTGAGGTTGTGAAGTTTTTCTTTTAACATTACAAATAATTAATTAAAGTTTAGATTGTGAAAAAATCTGATTTAATGTTCTTTAATCATTAAAATTCATCGTCTGCTATTCCAAGCGATGCTCAAACAATGCATAGTGGGAAAAATTACACGTTTAAAAAATTTTGCGATGAAAAATTCTCTTTTTTTAACTTCGTAGAACATTCTATCACAAAAACGAGAAATAATTTCTATTAAAAAATGTGAAGCGTTGAAGGAACCACGAGAAAAATTTCATTTAACAAACGAGTGTGAGCAAAAAACGACGCAAAGTGGTTTGCAATTAAGGAATGCATTCTTTTGAAATGTACAAAAATGGTTAAAAAATTTTAGAAGTCATTTTTATAATATTAGCCGAATTTAGCAGAAAAGATTGGCGTGTTGCTAGTGGCGTGGACAGGGTCTTTCTTAACAAGGCAACAAAATAATTATGAAGAATCATTTCTAAGTTACTCTTGAATTTGCGTCCTTTGAACCTGGAGAAGTCCTAGCAACCTGGCCCTAAACTGAGAAAGCATCAGCAAACGACAACACTTTATTTACCCTTTAGAAGCCATTGCTTGTTGGGGTCATCGTTGCTGTGTTCGGACCTTCAAATATTTTTTATACTTACTTAAAATGAATCTTAATGCCGACAACAACTTGTTGAAAGATCGTTTTACAGCCTGTAGCCCTGACAGGAAGTAAGAAAACTTAAAACTCAACATATACGATTGAAAATAGGACAAATGTAAAATTTTACATATTAAGTCTTGAACTCATGATAGCTGTGCAGATGAGTATGAAGAAATTTACAACCAACGTTCTCACAACTACACTACTGAGACACTTTACCTTACCAAACACATTTCAGCTATTAACATTATATTTTAATATCCTTTTGGCAAAACTGCGAAGATCTCTTTTTAAAAGCTATAATCTGTAAGTTTCCTAACCCCACAAGAAGTAACAAATGCGCCACTTGTCTATAATTTCAACACAATTTTTCATAATTTTCCAGCGTTCCTCGTCTTTCTCAATTCATATTCGCACTACTATGTTTAAGCACTTTTCATGTAAAACGAGAATTCATTCATAGTTAGATGGGAAGTGCCATGCAAGAGTGAAAAAAAAAAGAAAATTGAAATGAAAAATTGCAATTATTACGTTGAGTTGTATGAGACGAGATTTGATTTATGATGGCAGGTTTCGTTCCTTCTTTTTCATTCTCACACTTTCTACGTGTACACATGATAAATTTGATGATGGAGGTGGTGTTGGAAGGTGGAGAAGAAATAAAAAAAAATTAAGCGCATGCAAAATATTTCATCAAATTGCGGTGTAAATTTGCTTAATTCTCTTTCTCCTTTGATTTATTTAATTGAGTGGACACACATAGTCGACGCTGTGTAATTTTTTAATGGATGAATTTTATATTAGGTATCATACTCGCGAACGATATAATTTTCACTTTGATTTATGCCAATTTACAGCCATAAAGATGAAGGCAAAGAGAGACAAGACAAACAAAGTGCAATAAAATCTAATTCCCAACAGGCGTGTCATTTTGTGACTAATGCAATTTTCCTGTAATTTCGACACATGTTTGTAATAAAATTGCGAGCTTATTTGAAGCTATTATACTCAATGAATATTATATTCACACCAAAATAATGCTGTGCAGTGTCGTTTTGGAACTTTTGAATTTTTTAGTAATTAAAACTTATTTTTCAGCTTTTAAGCTTCATGCAATGTTTTCTTATATTTATGGACCAGGAATTAGAGACGTCTCTAAATTCCTAGAAAATTTGAGAGTTTTATGACTTCACAAAGTCCTTTCGCCATGGTTATGTATTTGTTAAGTGCCAACAAGAGCTGTTTTTTTTTTTTACTTTTAGATTACATTGTTTTCCTTCAGGCTGAAGAGTCCGACAATGTTTATTCCTTGCACCACTAGACAATTTAAACTGCTGTGAAACAGCTCCTAATGAGTATGACTGTCCTAAAAGTGACCGTTCTGAAATGTGTTATGCCTGAACTTATCCATTAACAGCAATAAACTACCGATATGATTTCTAATAATGACTTAAAAATAAGTATGAAATGGTTATAAATTTGATAAAAGTTAATCTTATCATAGCTGATACATATTATTGCGAATAATTTCAAACCAGAGTTGTTACTTAAGAAGGAAATTCTTTAATGAACATAGTCAAGCTTATCTTTAAGTCAAAATACTGTCAAGACCAGAGGCGTAGCCAGGAATTAGAAGAGAGGGGGGGGCAAAAATTTTATTGTATGGAAAAATTTGAGGGGGGGGGGCAAAAAATTTTATTGTATGGAAAAATTTAAGAGGGGGGGGGGGGAGGATTTTGTGATTTTTTCATCAAAAACCTAGCAAAATTAAAAATAATCCCCCCCTCCCCTCCCCTTCCGGCTACGCGCCTGGCCAAGACGCGTGCTTTAAGATCTTAGCAGTAATCGTGCAATAGATTCTGTGATGTGAAGTCAAAATTTATCAGGAATTTGTGGTCCCGACCACCTGCTTTAGAATTCATAATTGATGCATTACTATTCTGGATATAAATAAAATTATTGTAAGATTAGGTCATGCAAGCTTTGAAACCAGCTCATAATGACTTTATTGACTAGCTTTCAAAACTAAATGCATCCAGGAACAAAAGTGAGTACATGTGCTCACCCATCTCGAATAACAACTCTGCATTAAAAAAATTATATTGATTAGATACCTAATTGCTATAAATTATTTTACTTTTAGAACAACCAGCTTAGTTTTACACTAAATTGGTGCTGTTAATATTAAAAATGTGGTTGCTTAAAATAGCAGCGTTATCAGCTTATCTGTCAATTCTATTAGCTAGTCCACTTGATGTTTTGAAACAAAATGAGGAAAACAATTTAATTAATCAGGCAGATGAGACAACAAGCTATAGACTTCCAAATAATACAATTCCAATTGACTATGAAATAACTTTAACTACAAATATTCATAGGAACTTATCTGAGTTTTCTGGAACTGTCAAAATTCATGTCAAACTAATGGAAAACTCTTCATCCATAACTTTACATTCTCGACAGCTTGAAATCGAAAGAATTGACATTTATCAGCCAGGTATGCCATTTCCAACAATCACTGATGCTATTTTTGAAGAAATAAAATCAAATGAATTTCTGGTCGTGAAGCTACCAAAAATCTACGAAACTGGCACTGAATTTGTGCTTGCCATTTCCTATCTTGGTAAACTTCGAGAAGATTCAACTGGATTTTATCGTGGTGATTACATTAATAGTGCTGGAAATTCAAGTTCATATGCAGCAACTTATTTTAAATTAAATAATTCAAGAAGTGCATTTCCATGCTATGATGAGCCAGGCATGAGAGCAACTATGCAATTAACATTGATCCATGGAAGGAATTTCTCAGCTTTGTCAAATACAGAAGTGATTTTGCAGTTAGAAGATGGAGATCATTACTCGACTTTATTCGCAAAGACACCAGCTATGCCAACGTACTTACTGGCCTTTTTTGTCTCAGAATATGCCAATATTAATTCAACAGAAAGTTCTAGAATCCCTAATAAAATCCATGCAACTCCAACTGCCATTGAAGCTGGTTTTGGGAACTTTGCAGCTAGTGTTGTTGTTGACATCTTTGAAGAATGCGAAAAACTCTTTAAAGTTCCATATCCACTTAATAAAATTGATAATGTAGCATTGTCAGTGACTTTATACAAGCGTCCATATCTTTTTGGAGCACATGGAATGGAAAACTTTGGATTAATTATGTATTCATCCTTTGGCTTCTTGCTAGATCCAACATTTACTGGACATTATAAGAAGAATAAAGAAAATTCAATTACATCACTTATCTCACATGTCTACGCTAATCAGTGGTTCGGCAACATCGTAACACCATCTTGGTGGCAATATTCATGGCTTAGTGCTGGAATTGCTAAGTTCTTTGAAATCTATATTCCACATTCGTTATATCCTAATGAAAATTATATGGACAAGTTCTTCATTTCGACAATGCCAATTGCTTTTATTCATGATAAGTTGGACGCTTGGTCCATGAATCATTATGTTGATAATCCAGATGACTTGAAGTATAAGTTTAGTGGAATAAGTTATAATAAAGCTGCATGCGTGCTAAGAATGTTTATGGAATATGTTGGCGAGGAAGTCTTCCTTGATGGATTGAACAATTACTTGAATGATAATTACATGCAGTCAGCTACACCTGATGATCTTCATGCAGCTATTGATAAAGCATTTAAAACGAAAAATCCAGCAGTTTCGCTAAATATTGGTCAACTTATGTCTACTTGGGAAAATAAGCCTGGATATCCATTGGTGTCAATAAGCATTTCTGGAAACAGTTTATTATTTTCACAACGTCGATATCCAGAAGGTAATGGGGAGCTGTACATGATTCCAATTACATTTGCTACAAAATCAAATCCAGACTTTATAACCCGAAAACCTAGAGTATGGATGGATCAACAATCAATGTCATTATCACAAGCATCACTTAACTTCACAGCTAATGACTGGATAGTCTTAAATATTGATCAAGTGGGTTACTATCGTGTTGACTATGATTTAACTTTATGGCAAGCGATAATCAAGCAACTAAAAACTGACCATGAAGTTATAAATCGAATTAATCGAGCAGTTCTTATGGATGAGATTTATATAGCATGGACACAGCTTGGTCGTGTAACAGCATTTGAAGTCTTGGACATTTTAAGCTATTTGGATAAAGAAAAGGACACAAATGTATGGAGAAATGCACAAAATCTCATTCGAGGATTGGATCATAAACTTTTTGGAACTGATGCCTATGAAAAATTCTTAGAGTTCCTTAAGACACTTACAAGTCCACATCTAGTTGAATTAGGCTATTTTGGAATTGCTGGTGAGGATTATGAAACAACAAGACTCAGAGGATACACAAAGATATGGAATTGTCAAGCACTTGATGATAATTGCTTATCAAAAGACCTTGAAGTGTTTACATCATATCGAGGAGGTTCAGGCGAAGGTGACTTTAATTTCTGTAATGCCTTAAAAGTTGTTGATGGAGCGGAATTCACAAAATTACTTCAAGATGTTATTTCCGATGTTAATATGGATTATCGTGATGATTTCGTAAATTATTTAGGATGTTCAAGATCAAGTGATAACTTGATGCAATTATTGAATGCAGCACTTGATCCAACTAACGGGCTAGAAAGCTACGATCGAGAAATGTTCCTATACAATATGGCTCGATACAGCAACTTAGGTTTAGAAGAAAGTTTGAATTTTATGGATGCAAATCACAAGGAACTAGCTAATGTGTAAGAAATGTTGGCATGGGGGTTGTTCATAAATGATATTCTATATTTGTTGCCGGTACATTCCAATTTTTGATAGACGTCATTTATGAAAGATTCTACAAATTTTCAAAAATTTTGGAAAATAATTATATTTTTGTATTATAGCATTGAAAAGTTCCACGACCCACTGTATTACATAGCAGCTAATGTTAAGGATGAGATGATGGTATCAAAATTCGAAAACACACTAAATGCCATGGTTCAAGAAAGTATAATTCTTGCTAATGACACCGCATTCTTTATTGATGTAATGAAATCTAATCAAGACTGGATGGATGATAATTATTATCATGTTGCTGTTTATTTTGGTTTACAGGAGGCAACAAGTAATTTAAGTTTATTTATTTTAGTTTAATTTATTTTTTAAATCATTTTTTTTTATTATTTGTAGCTTTAGCGCCTACAACTTCTGTTTCCACAACTCCTGTTTCTATTTCCACATTACCTGACAGTGGAATGACTATTTTTATATCTTTGAGTTTAATGTGCTTTTGCTTAATCATTCACTTGATTTAATAAATCAGAAGTAAATCAGATTGATTTGTGTTTTTTGCGGGAGCCCCAAAAAGTTCCATCATTTAAGGAGCAATAGGTCAATCCCAGACCATGTCTAATTTTCGAAGCTCTTTTTCCATTTCATCGTTCTAGTTACGAAGCTCGGTTAGTGTGTTGGATGTAGTATTGATTTCTTTGGCATAGAATATGCCTCCTTTGCTAGGTATACAAGGATAAACTAGCATCTGGATGACTTCCTTACGGCATCTTGCGCACACGAATTGTGACTAGGTACATTGCAGTGTACATCAGGTCTTATGACGTACTTGTATCTTTGCAATGTGAAGAGCTTGCAAGTGGTTCGGATTTCACTATAAACTGTAGGTCTGTGGTGCCTCCAGCTGAATGACTGGGCCCTTCACACATTATTATCTTATTAAGGAGCGATAGGATTCCAAAATTTTAGGATGAGTTGATTTTAAAATCCAATTTTTTAAAGCAACATCAGAATCAAAATGAATTTGTAGCTTACAGTGCGAATATATCCACAAACACAAGCTAACCTTCCCAACTAATTTTAATGTTTACTATTTGAAAGTATACAGTCTATACAAGCTAGTCTATACACAACTGCTATAAAATTTTATTTTGTAGATATTTCTACAGATTTTATGGTCTTCAAACTTTAGAATTTTATTGATGTTTAAACACACGTAGTTTATATTTTTGCTTGAAAATGTGAGATCAAGTTTCAGAAAAGTAGTTTTGAAATTATTTGAGGAATTATGCATGAATAATTTCAAGAGCATTTACGCTTCATGTTTTTAAAAAACATAAAACTAGTGCCGTTAGTTAAAAATAATTTAAAGTTGAGTCATATTTGCTGGAATTTGAATTCTTTCGTCCAAAGTCATGATTTTTAGTTCTTGTATCATGCTCTGATTTTAAAAGCTTATCTGAATAGCACAAGTCGGTTAATTGAATAGAAATCCAGCGCCAAGCCAGTATGACACTGCCTTGAAGCTGGCTTTGATTTAAATCAAGCACCATGCAATAGTCACACTGGCTTGGTGCAAGATTTCTGATTGATTAACCGACTTGTGCTATTCGGCTAAACTTGAACTTCTTTACCTTAGTCACGGTTTATTTGCATTTATGTAGTTCATCTTTGTATGATTCTAAAGTAAGATGCTCTGAAGCTTCAGAAACCAGCCTATGAATAAAGTTTATCTTCAATTCATTTTAATTTACGATGATTGAATCTCAATTCCAAGTATTTACAAAATAAAGGAATACAAAATAAATAAACATTTAAATGCCAAAAGAAAATAAGGAAAGAAGAACTCGCCTCCATTCATTTCAAGACACATTCATCGTCACAATTCATAAAGTTGACGCATAGTAATCGAAAAAGATCTGAGACTTTTCAAAACACATGCCATCCATATAATAAAATAAGCAACAAAGAAAATTTTCTCCCTCCTTTTCTTCTTGCCACTGCCACATATTGCAATAAATATCAAGCATTTTAATTTTCAAGGAACAAAAAAAAACTCATTTTGGATTATTTTGTGTGGCGATGTGCGCGTATGAAGCATTAAAATAAATTTTATAAATGAAATATGAATTGTTGATGGGATAAAAATGTATAATGCGATGTTTGTGTGTATATAAATTTTGCTGCCTCAACTAAGCTACAGGGGGAAAGGGGGGGACAGAAAATATTGTTTCATTATATCACCATAATTCACTTGTGTGAAGGAATTTATGATGAACTTTTTCATTTTTTGCCTCGATTTTTATGACTTTCTTATTTTTCCGTTTCACACGATAATTTACAAATATATTTATATGTGGCATGGCATGAATGAATCAAGAAAGAGAGGGGCTAAAAGAGCTGAATTGACTGCAAAAATGGAAGAACATTTTTTTCTGCTTTTTGGCGGTTTTCCTAGATTTTTGCACTTGAGTGAATATTTATGTGGTCATTTTGTACTCATGCCTGTCATATTAGCACATAAACAAATAATTTTTAAGAAGATCTGTAAAGTGGATGATATATTGTAGATAGTTTTAGGTTCGATGATAGTTTGTTGATTCCGAAAATGAAAAAGGTTTTTAGTTGTTCTTTGTATAATGTATAATTATGCAAATGTATAATGGGGGGGGAGGTTGACATCAAACACCATAATCGTGGACAAAAACCCATACAAAGCATGCCAATTTTTGATATGGCCCTGGGCGATTACTTTTTGTTTTTACTAGAGCGTTGAAAAGCAAAAAAATACAGAAATGACAAATTGCTGTTTTTCTTTCGATTAATGATTAAAGTGGTAAATTAAAATTTTGAGGATCATCATTTTTTGTGTGAAGATCGTAAAATCTTTTGATTTGATATTATTTACTCGACATTTTAAATTAAATTTATAATCACAAGTTATTGACTGTTAATTAATTTATTTACCAATGCTGCTTAAAATATAGTGTTGCATTAGTTTCGAGAGATAATTGGCTATTTGAATATTTGCTAAGTGATATTTTGTGAATTAGAAGTTTTATATTTACTGGATTCTAAAATAGAGACTTTTCACATGGAGAGGGTTAACTTATTCATGACTTCCATAAACTGACACAGCGATCATGGATTCGAGACTCGGCATTGAAAATTGTATGTTCTTTTCACAGCCTTTCTTTGTAGGCTCCAGGTAGCAATGTCATTAAAGGAGTGGTTCAGATCCTACTATAAACTGAAGGTCTAAATTTGAGTCCTATGGTTTGGCGCATCCTCACTCGTTAAACTCCCATTAGCTGCAAAAAACCCTAACATGCCTCTGGATTAGACAGGATAAGCATAGGCAAAGGTTTTGTCAAAAATATTTTAGGATTCTACAAATGTTTTCCTGTATAGTAACTCCGCTACAGTCAGTAAATATGCGTTCATCCATTCGACCTTCATCCTTTTTCAATTCACAACTTTCCCCATTTGCCATTTCAAAAAGAAGCGATTAAATCTGAATGCCTAACAATATTATGAACACAATAAATCAACAGCAATGAAAACCTCATTCTCATTCTAATGTTCTTATTTTTATTTCGAAGCTCCAAGTTTTTTTTTTGCTGCTCTTTTCCCCATTTATAATAATCTGCCTCATCACTGAATTAGAATTGCAAACATCTTTAGCATTATTTTTATTTCATCCCTCTATGTTTTTCTTACGTTCCTTTTTCAGTTAAGGTCTGCAAAAATTGTTCATTTGTCGCAACTATTGTTGCGCGATAAAGTTATTTGTGGTGGTGAAGAAAGCTGAAAAATAAGTAAATTTGTGTGTACATTTGTAAAGCAGTTACGTATTTTTGCATTTTTGGTCAATTTATAAATCTTTTTGTGTGGGAAAAGATAAATAAGGGGGGGGGGGGGGGGGGGTGGTGGGGGAATAAGTAAAAAAATGATGCAGTCACTTCTAGTGTAATGTATTGTTTATAGCTGTACTAGGTAAACTATAAACAAATCCCGCAACCCCCACTTCCTAGTGTACCACCGAACATAGTTTAAGAACTCCTGGCTGAGTTCAAGTTTTGTAGGCTTTTGTAGGAGGGGGTTTTTAAAAATGAAACTGGGTCGACCCTTACCATCTTAAAGACAGTCTGGAAATAAAAAGTCCAAACTAACCTAAAATTGACTTTTCACAACCTTTAAATCACATCCCCTCCTTTCCAAACAAATCATGAAAATCCCTAAAATTTGCACATCCACCAAAAAGAAATGGAAAAGTCAAGAATGAAAAATTGCGAAAGCGAGCTTCAGAAAATTACTATAAAATTAAATTATTATTGCCCACTGAACGACGTGAAAATCGCCGCTGTCATATTTTCTTTCTATGGACTTTTAGCTCAAGTATAAAAGATGAATAAAAAAAAAATTGAGGGTGGATGAAAATTGCTGAAAATTTGTGTCATCATTAAGTTTGTGTTATTTCCATTTCATTTTCGCTCTTTTAGATAGAAATAATTGGGTCATTATTAATATTATAAAGCTTTTCTAGTCCTCTCATTCTGCATTAAATCATTTTTTTATTGTTATGGCAAAATTTAATAATCCTTAAGATTTTGATTTGATGAGATCAGTGATTTTTTTTTCGTGGAATATTACGTTTGCAAAAAAGAATGAATTAGATTTAATGGATAATGGAAAAGTTTTGAAGTTGCAGTTTTATGAATATTAATTTTTTTTTATTTTTTCGACTCACAAACAGTGTTGCAAATGTAGATGTCTACACTAGATGAAGAATGTAGATTCTTCAATAGTTTTTGTCTAGCTAAGAAACTTTCTTCATAAAGATCGATTCTATATGAAGATAGAAAATCTAATCTACACTACATCTAAAGATTCTGTCTACATAAAGATTCGATGAAGATGTCTACAATTCTAGATTTTTTCCAGGTCTACATCAGAGAAGAATGTAGAATTGTAGACATCTACATCGAATCTTTATGTAGACAGAATCTTTATGTAGAAATAATCTTTGTGTAGATTAGATTTTCTATCTTCACATAGAATCGATCTTTATGAAGAAATTTCTGTCTCAGAATTTATCTGATCCAGACAAATTGCCAGAATGCAACACTGCTCACAAAGCCACTTTTACTAGATTTTTTTAAGGTTAAAGTACAAGAAAATTTAAGAGAATATTTAAGTTCGGTATCAAAATATCTAACATTGACATTTATTTTAATTGGGGTATCTTAGCCAGGAATTTAAAAAGGGGAAGGGGCGGGTTTGTGTCGAAAATTGTAGAAGGGTTTTTTTAGGGCTCTAGCCAGGCTCCCGCAAACTATGATCTTTAATTAATCCCATATTAAGATTATAATCTTCGTTTTTAAAAGATTATAATCTGTGGGTCATTTTCAGTTGATAAAAGTGTAGCAAAGGAATTATTCGAACTTTAGTAGCATATATAAATTCCAACTCATCTGAAACCAGCTCTTCTTTAATTTGTCTTGGTTACTAAACCTTTAAATGCTTAAGTTGCTCGTCTTAATT